CCTTCAAGCCCTGGAACAACAGATGGAGACTGCAATAGTTCTCTCTTAATCTTTCAGCAGTTGATACCATTTTAGGACATGGAGCTTCTGTCAAACTCTGAGCAGCCCTCAGAAACAAGGGCCTCTTAGACTGTTTTGTTGGCCTAAAATAGATGGCTGTCCATTTAGTGGCATTTTGGATGCATGACTATGTACATATGGGTTCTCATCTTAAATGAACTAGATATAATTTTGAAGTTGTGTTGGTATCACACAACAAAAGTCACAGAACAACTGAGACAGGAATAATGCAGGAATAACTTGTATTGAAAATGTAGTACAAAACTTCCTCAGGATGAACTGTCAAGAAAAAACGTCTGGCAGAGGTTTCTGTGCCTGGACATTAACCCCATTTAGAACTGTCGCAAACATTTAGCTGATGATGCAGGCAAGGGTGGGCAAACTGTAGCCCCAGTGGCCCTCTCTTTCGTTAAAGCATGCCCTCCTACACTGACTTCACCTGTGTTGCAGTGACAAAACATACGGCTTTCTTTGAAAGCTAAATTTGGCCTTTTTGGGCTACTGCTCTTTGGTGGCAAACAACTCATTGTTTTTTGCTCCTACCACCAAAATTCTGCAGCTTGTGGTGGCCCATAGATCCTCAGGGCTTGAAACTGATCCTCTATCCACGGAGTTGCTTGCTTCTGCACGAAAGCACATTTACTCAGAACTAAAGTTACAGGATTGCAGCCTTAATCAGTTTAAGATCAAGGTCTGCCAGGGCTTCATGTTGCACCAACGTTAAAACAACAAACTGAGAATTTGTCCCTTTTGAAAAATAGAAAACCTAGTAAAGGTGCATGAGTTCTGAATAGTGCTATAGAGGCAAAATGTTTTTTTAAGGACAGTGTAGTTTTCATTAGAACTTTGTCCAGATACCTTCATGAGGCTTGGAGCTTAGCTTGTTTCGAAAGCAATGCATTCCCTGGCCAGGAACATTATAGGCATTAGATGACTCCCAGCTTAAGCGATGCCATCAGAGTCTTTACTTCTAAATAGACTAAAATAGTCATTTTCCTTCCCTGCTCTGTAGTTGCACTTCAAAGTGCAGGGTGAGAGGGAGCCACACTGCAAGCTTGATCAGGGAACCTTGCTTGCATTAGGTCCTGTGCTGCCAGCCATTCTTTTGTGGGAAGGGAGAGCCCAGTCCAGTGCTTTGCTTCCTGAAGAGGTGGTTGCTATGCTTCCATTGGATGGAACTGTGTAGTTTCAGCTGCTGGGCAGGGTACCAGCCTTGGGATAAAGGTGCACTCCACTCTTGCTCCCAAACCTTATGCGCAAGCTCCTTTCTCCTGTGCGTTTTTCAGGAGAGGGCTTGACTTTCCATCACCCAGGTCTTTAACTTTTGTTTTTCAGACATTCGATTTCCAGGGGTAAACTAAGGCTGGAGGGCGAATTTCTCTGCTCTGTGGTTCAGAATGGTCTACATTTAGACATGGAGTGCTTCCAGACTCCATGGACTTAGACAACAACACCTTCCAACCATGATCCACCTGTGTTTCCCACCATTTCCATCCTTTTCCTTATCACAGAAAGTCCTTTAAGGGTGGCAGTTGGGGGGGGGGGAGTGCTGTGCACTGTCATCTGGCTGGTAGCACTGGGATCCCTCTTTCTGGACCCCCCCTCACGCACACCTCAGATGAAACAACGGCTTTGCGTTTGATACCAAAATGTTTCTTTCCAATATTCAAGTCAAAAAATTAGATCCTGCGTTCAGTTAGATGATGTTCCTATGTCCAGTATCATCAAGTCAGTAGCCATTCGGAAATAATGTTTCTTTCCCCAAAACATGGGAGATTTATCAGAAGGACTGTGTTCTCAAATTGCTAGATCAAACTCGCAAAACAGTATCCTTTTTTCTGAGAAACTAATATATAGCAATTCAAAGATGTGATATGGGACACCAGTTGATGACAGAAAATGTCCGGGCTTTAATGTAAAGACGTTTGCTAGCATTTCCTTCCATCTTAGGAATGGCAAAAGATCTGCAAACTAGTGTAAGTCAGATTTAGAGAACATCTGAGGGTATCTGTCTCTCCCCTCTGTTAAATAATTACCTTGAAAGAGTTCTGCACAACTCAAAAACTTACATACTGTATTTTAATACAAGTGTGTTGTAGCAGAAGGGATTACTTTACTTGTTTGGTGAGTTAAAACTGTGTATTTCAGAACAAATGGGCACGTGCTGTTTCAGGAGCCACAACTGATATTGCCCCCCTGCAGAAGGTATGGATTAGAGAAGATGAAAAAAATGTATAGGAAAAATGCTAAACACTGCATTTTCCAGTGTCACTGCTCCAAATACAGAATACTTTGTAGATGCTTCAGAGTAAAAATGGCAGGAAATCCCCCTCACTTATGTTTCTTGAAATGTACAGTTTCCTCCTGTGTGTACTTACACTAGTACATTTTTTTCTGCTCTCAGTGAGAGACCCATATCTAGGAGAAAGGAGCTAAATATTGTCTTGCCCATAAGACCTTTAGCCCTAAGAGAATGTGCAGCATTGCAAACTTCATTGCAAAGACTGGAGTTCTTTATAAAAGTTTTGTTAAAAATAGAGAACACCTCAAACATTTTAGGCATTTTGCCTAAATTTATGTATTAACACTTTAATTTGAATTAATATATGTAATAATTTTGGAAGAACACAGCATTGCTATAACATTGGTTCATATTATCCAAATGGCACTGATTATAAAGCATAACAAGACCACAGTAAAAGGGTTTCAATGTTGCTCCAGGATGTTTCTAAGCTCTCTAATTTATCTCTTGATGTTAACAGAAGACATTTTGGATTATTCCCTTTGGGACAAAGATGACTTCTTCATATTTTTGTCTTTTAAATGCAGTACTAATTGGGACATTTCACTTTAGTAAAGTGTCTTCTCTATACAGTCATATTAAGAGTGGCCATGTAAGGAAGTGTTGATCAAAGGTTATTTCTCCTGTGTACATACACTGAGCTAAAACTGGAAGAGGAATTGGCTGAGATGCAAAATGCTTGCCTTATCAACTGTGGCCACAGCAAATTGGCATGTTAAGTGTTGAGCCCAGAAAAAGCTCTTGAGCCCTGTCAGGGGTGCTTTTCTGTATATCAGTTCACTTCCCAGTACACTTGGAGGTGTCACTAACACTGACTGAAAAGGAGAGATAAAAATAAACCTAGATGTGTTTCTCACAGTTCCTTTGAGTTATGCAACACGTTTGTGCACCTACCGTTTCCTGACTCCATAAAAGACCTGCCTGCTTGTTGATGTGTCTGTGAATTTCCATTATTCATGTTATTTCAGCTTATGCTGAAGCTGTCACTTTACTCTGAACTCCAACCCTTTGTACATTTGTAGAGCTTTTCTTTTTTTTTAAACCATCTTATTTTTCCATGTATTTATTTTTAATGCTTTTTTATACTCCCCATCAGTTGAAGCTCTCTAGGTGATTCACAAGTAAAACTATACAATACAACATTAAATACAGGGTTAAAAATTAAAACTACATTATACAATAGAAGTAAAAGTCAAAGTGAAACCTAGGGGCAGTATAAAGATTTAAAAAACTGAAGTATGTAAAGCAACAAAGACTAACTGCTGGGAAAATAACGTCTTCACTTGACACCAGGAGGGCAATGTAGAAGCCAGCAAGCCTCTCTTGGAAGTTCATTCCGCAACCAGGATGCCACAGCAGAGAAGTCCTTCTTAGTAGCTACCCATGTCACCTTGGCAGGAGCTCCCACAGAAAGACCTCTGAGAACAATCTCAGGGTACAGGATCATACATATGGGAGGCCATGTTCATTCATTCATGTTAATCCTAGTACTTTCAATTGGACCCAGATATGGAGTTGCAGGCAAGCACAGATGGTAAAATACTGGCCTAGCATGATCACAGTGGCCAGTCCTCAACAGTGATCTCATGTCATATTTTGGACCAGCTGAATTTTCCCAGCAGTTTTCAAGGCAACCCCATGTACAAACACATTGCAGTAATCCAGCAGAGAGGATACCAGAGCACAGGTAAGAGTAGCTAGACTATCCTAACCAGATACGTACATAGTTGGAATATCGGCCTAAACTGATAAAAGATGCTGCATGCTACTGAGTCCGCCTCAGCCTCTATTAACAAAGCTGGATTCAAGAACAGCCATTAGTGCAAAAATCTATTGCATTAAAGTCTGCATGTCAGTATCACATGCAATCCCAGGACATAAAATGTCTGTGATAGGAGAGCTGATTCTACCTTTGTTGCTGCAGTAGATCCTCAGAAGCCTTTTTTCTGGCTCTGACTGCTTTAAAAAGAGAGGTTCTGGCTGAAGGTTCTTTTATCCCACCAGTTTTCACATTCCCTTTCCAGACAGATTGCCAGGCAGCCTTTCTACTCTCATCTTTTAAATGTGTTGTGTTGTTTTTCACTGGTGATGCTTGTTGCTGTGCTGTTCAGTTTTATTGCTATGACTTTACTTAAACTATATACTGCACCGAGAATGCTTGGGATGAAAATAACACATTTTATTTTTAAAAATCTCAAGTTTGATAAAGAAGCAAAGCTACAGCTCTTTCTGTATGTTGTTTTTGCTTTTTAGACTGTAGGTCACTGTAGGTTACATTGAAGAGAAATGCTTCAGAATCCACAAGTAGTTCTTTTAAAGTCTTACAATATGTTTGGTTTATATCAGTGTCATCAGTTAAGACAGTTCATACAACTCTCATTAAAGGCTATTAACCTAAGCAAGCATGAAAAATGCACAACTGTAATTGCTGTGCAACACAGTCTTACGTGTATGTACTTGAGAGTAAACCCTATTATGTCTGCTAGGGTTTATTTTGCAGTTGATGTGTTTAGAATTGCAGCCTTAAACATTTTGGGAATACTAATAATGTGAATCTACACACTTATGCCATGACAATATCTCATTTTGATGGTCATCAGTCACTCTCTTAGTTCTGGGAAGAAGGAAAAACAGAATATTGCACATTTTCATATGTCTTTATTGAAAACTGTACAGATGGAGAACCTGCAGTTGATGGGTGGCCTGTGGAAGTCTCCCCACGGCTCACCAATGCCCTGGCCACCCCACAAATCCACTGTTCCTCATGCCCCCTGGTGCTGATTCCCCCCCCCAGAGCAACAGATCAGTGGCCTTCCTTGCCAACCACTTCCTGGTTCTTACTGGGTCAAGCTGGTGACTTTCCATACACCAGTGCCAGGTCACTGAGCACCAGCAAGGAAGAAGGCCACTCAATGCCTTAGCACTGTGTGCAGAGATTGGGGGAAGCAGTGGCTGTATGAAAAGGCTGTGTGCTTCTCTGTGTGTGTCCTTGTACATGAGAGGGGGGTACGAGGTTTGGCAGCACTGCCCATGGCCACTGCCAGCCCAGGATTCGCCCACGGTCAGGTTGGGTCACAGCCATTCTAGCATGCATCCCTTAACACATAGCTGCTTCCATCCCTTGGAGTCAAAATGTTTGCTTATGCAAGGCAAGGATCTGGTTTTGCATGTTCCTGTTTCAGGCTATGGCTACTGAGTTGCTCTATACTACTACGTTCCACTTCCCTATTTTATGTTTCATATGTCAAAACCAAGAATACTGTTAAAAAAAGTGACAGCTAATGAGAAGAGCTCCCAAATACAGGCTGAGATGGAGACTTGGTGAGAGAAACTGTGAAGTTTATCTCACTATAATCAGGTTTAACTAAATGCAGCTAAATGAACAATAACTATTTCAATAGCAATGATTATAATGATACAATTATGGTTGGAAAGCGGGCCATTTTTGAAACTTCAATAATTCTTAATGATGGTTTCTAAAAGGAAGCTGTGTATTCTTTGTTTTCATATACTGGGAAGCAGAGGCTGGGGACACAACACTTTGCCAAAATTTCTGATGGTTCCGTAGAATAACATTTGAATCTTTACTATTTTATTTTTTATTTTTTGGGTCAAGGGAAGAATACAGAACAGCAGTTGGACACCTAGTAAAGAAGGCTTACATGTAACAACTTGTATGTCTACTGGAATCTCTCAAAATGGGATTGTGAGTGGAAAATAGGATTGATCACTTAATAATGCAATTCTATACATGTTTATTCAGAAATAAGCCCCACTGAGGTCACTTATTTCCCAAGAAAGAATGTACAGGATTGCAGTCACAGAGCAGCATCCAGTGCTCATTAGGCTGTGTTAGTGCAAATGGCCAGCAGTGCAACGGGAAGCTTGCACTTCCTGCAGCAGCCACAGAAACTAGCAAAAGCTGCATTCTGGAAGGAGGCAGCCTCGGAGCTGCCTCCTGGTGGCTCTGCCGGTGTGTTTTGTCTGCACTTGCTTCTGCTCATTTCTGACCGCTCTAGGACATGCTATCTTCACATTATTTTAGCGGTTGCTTCTGCTGGCGCATGGGAAGCTTTTGGTACTGACTTTAGATAGCGATCCTGTGATTATTCTGAAGCAAGCCCTCCCTGTGCAATGGAACCTGTTCCCTAGAAACTGTCTAGCATAGCCGGCTTAGGGTGCATTCCTGTGCATTTTTAAGCAAAAGCCCCCCTGGCTGGGGGCATGTTGGGAGCTGCTTCTGTCTAAGCTTTCATGAGATTGTGCCTTTTAGTCTTTTTTCTTCTAGGTTTTATGTATCGCCTTTAAACATGCCGGTGTGTCTACTAGCTCTATTTTAGTGCTGATACAAGGGAGTGTATCCCCTCAGTCAAGTGACTCCTAACAGTAATGTCAAGGGTTACCTTTCCTGCCTAAGTGTTCCCCTGGATTCTAAGCTCTGTGCGCAAAAATGCATTTTCGCTGTCTGTTGAGATGAAAGGAGGAGCCTGCATCAGAGAGATTCATACGCATATGTGATGGTCTAGATCAGGGTATCTGTCAAGAGTTTTTCCATCAAGCAGGGCAAAGAATATTGTGTTGCAAAATTACTGCATCTTGCTTCACAACACAGTGTTGTCTGCTTCTCAGCCTACACTTTAGTCATGGCACTTTAAAGACAGGCAGATAGTTAGATTAAGTAAGATTGTCATTTATCCATTCTTTCCAACTTGTCTGCAGAATGACCTGAAAGTCAAATAAAAGAGATGGGCTGAGTGTCGCAAGTAAGCAAGCCTGCCGCTTCAGTAACTATTAATGTATTATGAAATCCACATTTTAATGTAGTTCATCAGCCAGTAGGTGGTAGGCCAGTGTGAAACAGATCCCTGGGTGGAGGAGTTAAGTTGCTCTGCTACTGTTGACTCTGAAACCCAAAACTCAGACCAAGGGCCAATTTACACAACTGCTTTCTGAGATGCAGCATATATCCCCACCATGTTTTTTTCCTCTTCCTTTCATCCCCTGCTCTTTTCCCATACAGATTTCAGTGGGATTAATTGGTGAAAAAAAGAGTACTTTGGCTTCCCTCACCCATCTCCCTCCTCCTCCTCTGTGTTGTTTTTGGGGATGGTTGGCAGCTAATGTTTGCATCACTGTGAATAAGAATGCAGTTTATTTTTAACAACCATTTTTGCACAGTGTTGAAAGTGTGCATGCAGTTAGCAGACTCGACAAACAAAAAGAAGGCAAGAACCCAAAATGCCAGTAGGTTTTCCCATTTCTTCCACAGTTACGGCATTCAAGTGATACTTCTGGCTTATGCACTTGCTGAGAGCACAGCGATACACTCAGGACCTCTCAAGCTCTTCCTCTTTCTTCTGCAGTTTCAGCACTGTTTATACATGGCACTCAACTGTGCTGTAAACACCGGATGACCCAGGGACAACAACTGAGCATTAAAGAAATACTGGCATAGCTGTGCCTCACATACAAAAGAGGGCTCTAGTATACATACTACCACAGTCTGCATGGGATGTAGTAGTACCTTGGAGAACACCACTTTTGACTACTCCACTTAGAAACTTGCTGCACACAGAATGCTAGCAGCTCTAGGAGAAAAGTTCTTTCTGAGCCCTCCCCTTACTGCATTTATTCTACTTGTAGGGAGGGTTCTGTTTTATTACAGAAACAAAAACAAGGTGCAAGGTTGTTGTGGGCTGATTGGAGGGATTCCCTCCCCCAGTAAGACATGCTGCCTTGGTGTAGAGAAACAACAAGCTGTACCGGGACTGTGATTATGGAAACAGCACCCTGCACAGCCTGCTCTTAAAACAAGCCACTATATCTTTCTAGAATTGTGAAACCGGGTTATTCTCTCTCCCTCTCCCAGCTATTCAATCCACCCATTGTCTTGTTTTACTTCTTTTTTTTAAATAAGTTTTATTATTATTATTTTCTACAAACTAAAAAGAAGAAACTAAAAACATCAATCATCAAAGACATCAGACCTGCTGGGTCAGCCCCCCATTTTTATCTCGTTTTATTTCTATTGAGTTACTTGCTTCCATACCTGGACTCACTGACATCCTGTAGTTCAGCATTCTACTGTGGCACTGCAGAAAGTAAAATATGAAGGAAAGTCTGAGAAATATTAAAGAACTGACAATTGTTGTTTGTTGTTATTAACCTTATTCATGGCATCTCCGGACGGCCTACAATCATTAAAACAACAACAATGCTACAAAGGCATAAAGTGTGTTTCCCTCATTAGCTGTGAATATGAGCTGCAATATCTAGCAGTTTGAGTATAAGAACGAGTTTCTTATTCACCAGGGCATTTGCAGTTTTTGCTTTTGTGGAGGAGTTTTGGTCCTGGGGATTGCCAAGCTGGGCTTAGCTGAGTGGTGCTGTGATGCTCCAACCACAGATTGGCCAGGCAACACTAGTAGCAAACTATTCCGATGACCTTTCTCTTCATTATCTGAGTCTATACTGCAGACCTCAGGTTCACATTCAAAGATCAAGGTGCCTTGATCTTTGAATGTTTCTCTTCATTCATCCCTTCCCTCTAATAGTGGCTGGCCTGGTGAGAAGTTCTGTTGATCTTGAATGGCTGTGCATTTTTTTCTGGCATTTTGGTCCTAATCAAAGTACTGCATGTGGCGCTCAGTTTTGGGCTTTTTGCACTCATGGGTCAGCACGTATTTTTAGCTTTCCTGTCACATTTACCAGCAGTAGATCGGCTTGTGCAGTTTGCACACACGGAATAGCAAGCAGCCTTGGATGCTGATGGCATTGTTCAAAAAGATTCATTTTCCAAAGGTACAGTGCATGCCACTCCAGGATGCCACTGTACTCAGCCAAGTTGGTCGATATAATTTGTGGATCTCAGAATAGATTGGGAGGACAGGGTGTGTATCTCTCAATTAGTTATTTCTCATTCATTGTTAAAGTTGCACAGACTCCCTAGCCACCCTGGTTGCATAGAAAAGCAAGATAAACATTCAGTAATCAAATATTCTCCTGCAGAATTTCTGAGCATTGCACTGTTTATCTTACAACTTGCTTGAAACACCTCACTCCCCAGACCACAATTTGCATAGGGCAATGATGTATCAGTGCTGATAAGCATTGTAAGCGCATGTCAATACATTTGGAATACACTTGCTTGGCTGCCACTCAGATAGGCTTGTAAGCTCTAAGGAAGCTTCTGTGATGTAATTCACAGGTCAACTAAGAAACAATTGTGCTCATCCTTTAGTTTTTCTATACATCTTCCTTTGTACTCAGGCATGAGGAAGACACAGAATGAAGGTATCTTTTGGTCCCCATCTCCACCTGCTCAGTTATCTTTCTTTGAAGAGAACAATTGTAAGTTGGGGAACCACTGTTAGTTTCATGTTTTAGAGATTTTGTACATCTCCAACTTACCTCTAACATCTAGTCGGCACTCTATTTCAGCTTCACCACATTCATTTACAGCTTTACAGGTGTAAATGCCGCCATCAAATGGGCTGGGCTTTCGGATTTCCAAAGTCAACACTCCATGCTTACTGAACATGCGGTATTTGGCATCACCAGAAAGGTCCACTTTGTTTTTGAACCAGAAGATTTTGGGCTGAATAATGAAAATAAGAAACACTAGTAGAAAGAAGGGTGAAGCAGGTCTTCTTCAAAACTGGGGAAAAGAGGAAGGAGGATATCTGAACATCTTTTCCCCAAGGAATACCTTGTAAATTCAGATGCTTGACACTTTAAAGGAAACAGCACCCATAGCTTAAACTTAGGCCAACTAGACTTGGGGAATTGTCGAGCAAGAGGAGTACCAGGCCCATTCATAGTATTTTATGGCTTGTTGGTAGGGTACGCAAGTCCTAAGGAAGAGGGATGAGTTTGTTCGTATCTAAATCTTTTTCTCAGCCATTTCTTAGTCTTCTCAGAGGGCCACCTATCCTCTTCACTGGTTATCTGCCCATCTTCCATATGACAGTGTTCTGCAGTTCCCTCAACCCCCAATATATCTCCCACTTCCTTTTCCTCTTCTCCCAGGGCTTAGATTCTCTTCCCGGACATTCTGCTGTCCCTCAGATCATGTAACTCCTAGGGTGATTTTTTGACCTGACGTGCTGCAGTTCCAGCCACTGCACTTTCTGCTGTAAAGGCATTTTGTCTGCCCTGTTTCTGCGGCTCACTGCTACAGAAGAGTAACTCCTACTACTAATGGATTCAAAGCCAGATTTCTTTCTGGCCCACCTGTCGGTAAGCTTTATAGCGCTTCAGTACACATTGAATTTATGATGTCTTACATTGCCTAGAATACAAAGTAGAAAAGCACTAGAAAAAAGTAACTTTTAGAATTCTGGTTTGTTTGTTTTCTCCATCTGTATTGAGAAAATTGGTTTGCGATGTACCTTTGGGCTTCCTCGTACAGCACAGCTGAGTGTAGCATTATACCCAGCAATCACTGAACGATCTGCAAGTGGATGAGTGAATTTTGGCACTTCAGAGAAGTCGTGCTCTTTGTAATTGGGGGGTTTATAATCTGTACCTGTAGTTTGAAAAAGAAAGGCTGGGTTCAAGGAAGAGTTACATTTCTTTCATCTTGCCCAGTATTTAATATTATCTTAGAATTACCAACTCCCATTGAGCAGAGTAATAATAATGTTGACATGCCACATAAGGTAATCTCTTGTCCAACACTTGCTCCATTTTTTTAATGGAAAGGCACACTATCATACTATTTTTCTCTTGTTACAATTTTAGTTAGGCAGTCCTTAGCTACTTATGTTTGGGACTAGAAAAAGGCCCATGGCATTTCATGCATGGAAACGGAGATGAATGGGCAGGCTCTGAACCGATCTCTCTTGGCTCTATTCCCTTCCCCCACTCATCTTCTTTCCAGGACTCCTATCTGTCCTCAATGGAAACATTCCAGTTGTGTTTTCCTTTGTTTCTCCCCTCTCCAATATTCCCAGAATCCTCTTTCTCTTCTCCCAATATTCATCTGAAGCATGCACTCCCTTTCTCTTTCCTTTTCCCCAAATGTACTATTTCCTATGGGAATGTAGTATGGCTATTGACACGCAGCAAGAGGCAAAGGCACTTGGGCCTGAATAGGGGAATTCTTATGGCATTTCTTGCCATTGCTGACCTCAAGAATTAAGAATCAACCCTGTCCTTTGGTTCTGTTTCCTGGCCTCTCTGAAGTATGACAGGGTGTGTGTGTTTGTGTATAAGTGCACACGTATGCAAACAAGATCTGCAAATGCTTGTCATTCTGCCATCTGCAGATTTGAAAAATGTCAATGCAACATTTAAATGACATTTGCATTTTGACATTTTTGATCTGAAACTTTAAAATTTGTTTGCTTCTGCTGATTGGTTTAAATTGGACATGTTTCAAATAAGATATTGATACATATTAAAAAAGCTATTATATACCACCTGTCAGTTACTGGAACACATCAACTGCCTGTTATCAAATATAATTTTATGATAGATCTCAATAGCAGATGTTCAATGAATACTATCAATCATTTTGACATCAAAATGTGCAAACATGGTTTTTGATAAGAATGTTGAGGTGGAAATTCCTGTCATCTCTCTCTTACCTGTCTTTTTAATGAAGGCAGAGTTTTTGGTGGTTGCAGCAATTTCGCTCAGTCCACACAGATTTTCACTGAAGACACGGAAATAGTATTCATTTCCCATAATTAACTCTGAGATAACACAATTAGTGCGTCGATAGTGATCAAAAACGGTATACCACTCCTGAAATTAAAACAGTCAGTGTCAGAAAAGTGGGCGATCTTGCAACAATCACACATAATGATGTGTTTGGCTTGGATTTCTGGAACATTAGGCAAAAACACATTATGTGACAAAAGCAAGTGAAGCAGAACAGGGACAGAAACTTTGCCAGATCGGTGAGATTAGCTGGTGAGCCAGAATTCTTGCATCTACTGTTTCTGGGGATAAGTTATTCCTTAGAGTAGGTTGCATGGCTGAGAAAGCTGTGTGTGGCATTGGGTTGGTGGCAGGGAAGGGGGTGTGGGACAGTGGCCCTTACCATTGTTTTTTTGTCTGCTTTCTGTACTGTGTATCCGGTGATTTGGGCATTGCCGTCATCTTGGGGTGGCTTCCATTCCAGTGCCACATTGAATCCCCACACATCCACGATCTTCACATTCTGAGGAGGACCCGGCTTATCTGCAGAAGTTACAGCACAGGAATCCACATGCAAAACATGATCCTTTTATTAAAGAAACCAGTTATGGAAGGGGAAAACAAAAGGTCTTATTAACTACGGTCTGTGCTGGAAATCAGTTGGGAACTGGTAGTTGGCAGTCCTCAACAATGACAAATCTCTGCATTATGGCCAGATATATATTTAAGAATTTATACTCTGTTTTTCAATGAACAAATTGTCCTAAAAGCTAAATTATAATTCTAAAACAAATATTAAAATACAATAATAACTAACAGAGACGCAAGTAATTGGACGGCATAGAAATTTTATAAATAAAAATAAACAGTATACTAGTATAGAAAATAAATTGACATCTCCAAGGACACCTACATATGCAGCACATTTAATGGTTTTATGGCTGCTTCCATATTTTAAGAATTTTTTTAAATTCCTTAACAGCTCTAAATTAGCCAAGAACCCAGATCAGACAGATTTCAGATGGCTAAGGCCATCACTGATAATGTTTTTTAGATATGGAGGTAGAATCTACAATGAAATCTCCTGGCTAGGATTCAGTGAACCAGGAGGTATGTATGGGAGAAAGCATTCTCCCAAGTATCCTGGGCCTAGGCTGTATATGGCATTAAAAGTAAGAATCAGCTCTAAAGTTGGCACAGAAATAAATGTACAGCCCATAGGTGAGCTTTGGACAAATTCTGAACATGATTCAGACAGATTTGGGAGATGCCCATTGAAATGGGGCTTTCCTGAACTGGACCAAACCCCTGTCTGAAAACTCCTGAACTTTTCAGATTCAGAAGAGTTATATAAGGAAAATTACAGGTTGGAGAGAAAAAGAGATGTAGTGTTGTGACTGGCACCTCTACTTTCTAATCACAGTGCATCGTTTTACCAGGACTTCCCAATCCTAGCACTTTTGAAGGAAGGATGCCAAAGTAATCTCTTTATTGTTTATTGCCAGGCAAGAGGAAGGCATTCAATTTCAGAGGAAAAAACCTCAAGTAGGAAGATTTGGGTGGGCAGAAGATGGTGATTGTGTGGGCAAAAAGCCAAGTAAACCAGGGGAATCAGACCCAACAGAGATAATCAGGGCTTTTGTACCTTCCAGCGAGTGCCCATGGACAAAAGGTAATGGGGCAGATTGCCTCCCAGAGATTCAGCACTCTGAATGAAGTGACTGAGGCTGTAGCCCTAGTGGGCCAAGCCCTAACACCACCTCTGTCCATATGGGAGAACTGAGGCTGCAGGCAAGAAGGTGGCTTGAGTAAGAGCATTCAGTGAGGCCCTAACTACATATCATGTTAAATATGGTACTTGTGGCAATGTCAGTGTCGACTTTGTTTCAAAAGCAATTAAAACAAATGCAAAGGAGTCTGATCCAGCTCAGAAATGCAGCACCTTACAGATGTCCAATCAAGATGCTTGTGGGAGGGAAGATTAACTCTTTCCTTGCCTGTTGTAATCCTGACCACTGCTCCCCAGCCACAGCACAAACAATGAGCAAAAGTCTCCTGTGGAGGCCTACTAGAGCATTGTTTCTACTGTCGTTTGCAGTGTGGCCATGTTTTCATGATCAGAGCAAAGGACAGTAGCATTAAATGTTCCCTCCCCACATGCTGCGGTTTTAGTCTTCACCATTCCTTCCTTATTTTTATTAAACAAAAAACAAAACACAAGTGATGTTCCAAGCAATGCATTTGATGTCATGTGTGGCTAGGCCCTGAACACCTAGCAGAGGCAAGATTAGACGCAGAGCTGTCAGGATGCATAGCTCAGTCTCTCAGCTGTTCTCACTGAGATGAATGGGAATATTGTTGCAAGTATCCGAAGTTCTGTACATACTCCTGCAACCCTGTATTAGAGTTCCTAAATTTAAATGAAAAACTCCTAAGACTCCAGCAGTTTCTTACCCATGATCTGCATGGTGACAGTCACTTTATCACTCATGTTTTCTATTTGCACCTCCACTTCATATATTCCAGAATGGTGGCGCTCAGCCTTTCGGATAAACAGGATTGTGTCCATGTTACTGTTTCGAATTGCCACCTCCTTGGAGTCTATTGGCTGGCCATCCTTTGTCCAGATAACTTTAGGTCTAGGTTTACCCTGTAGAAGAAAAAATGCCAGAATGAAAGTAATTTACTGAATATTTGGTGGTTTAAATCATTTATCTAAGGAAATCACTAAGTATATTTGACTTCTCCTTCGGCATGACACGTTTGTCACTCTTGCACACGGGAAGCCTAACATATATGGTGCAGCGCCCTGTCTATCACAAAGTCAGTCTGGAGTTTCCTTCATTTCTCGTCTGCATCTGCCTGTCTGCTGCTTCCTGAGGAGCTATTTGTGATGAGCACATAAATCCCAAAAGCCAAGGCAAGCCACAGCCTACAGGTTGGTGAGGAGGAAGTTTCCTTTCATTAGATGGAGACTGGAATTTTCTAAAAATGAGTGGGTTGATTCTTTGAGCCCTCTCCTACCGAAGAAGTAATCATGAAAAAAATCCATTGTTCATCCTGTGAAATCTGACTGTTTTGGGGAATTCAGAAAACTTTCCCTTGCATCTGTGATGCACGTCTGCCCAAAAACCTGCTCTGAAAATCAGCTGCATCGTAAATACATTTTTTTCTCATAAAATATCACCAAAGCAAAACTTTAAAGAGGAAAAATATATCTACATAAATTTGAATATTTCAGTTTCAGTACATGGATATGAAGTGTGTGTGTTTGAAAATACAGCTTTCTAAGAATGTATACATAAACCTCCAACAAAAGCAGACCAAATCTACATATTCTTTCACGAGTGGTCTCTGTATACCACCCATTCAAAAGCTGAAAGTGTCATTAGGTCCTTAACTAATTGCGTTGTAAAAAGTGGGCTTACCTCCTTACCATGGTACAATGTCAGTCTTTTAGCTGTTGAAAGGGCACAGAGAATCCATTTTTGCTGATTGTGTGTTAACTGCCAGGAAGCAGGTAGATAATTTAAGGGGATATGCACATCAGTAAATACTAAAGAGTGTTCCAGTAAAAAGTTTATTGCATAACAACCTACTCATGAATAATTAAGTACTGTTAAAACATAGGGTTAAAAGAAGCATTAGGTCTGTCCTGGCATTAGTCCCAGCAATTAGCTAACTTAGACAAACTATTATTTAACATACATTGTAGCATCCAATGGGCATAGAACAACATTTTTGCTGGATAAGATAGAACCTGAGATCCAAAAACATTTCAGATACAGATGCTAAAACAGCAAACTAGTGATTTGGTGAAACAGGGCAATCCATACACTATTCCATTCCTGCTTAACATCCTGTGTATCATATTTATTCACTGATACTTCTAAACATGGATTGTGGGTTGATATAACTGATGAACCTCAATAAGTGCTTCCAACAGTAAAGCAAACTCTGAGGATGTAGATGTGACAAGCCCAAACCAAGATTCTAACAAGTGTTCAAACTAACTTTTTTCCTGCTTATTTAAATGCCACAATCCCTTGACATCCCATAAAATCACATTAAACACAGAAAAAGAAAAAAAATACATTATTTGTCTCCCCATACATACAGATCCTACCAATTTTACAGTAATCACCTACTTTTAAATGCTATAGCATATCTGTCATAGATTAAAACTTTTTTTAAAATCAATCTAATTATTATTATGCTTAACCTTAGAGAACCTCTAAAGTAGCTTAGCTAGTTAAAATAGATGGGGCCATGGAAGCACTATCACAGTTGTTTCAAAAGAAGGTTTGAAATGAATCAGCTGGTACAGGGATTGGCTTTTTAGTTACATAAGCACCATCACCTCGTTAGTCAGCAAGTGAAATTGGTGGCCTGGGAGCCGGGGGGCATGGAACTTCAGTGATTCAGCTCATAGCTAAGGAATCATGTCCAGATGATAGCACTGGCTGACCATGGGCTGAGCAGGCCTATGGCAGTTAAGCTGTGGGGTCATGTAGGGCTCTTCTCTGCCTGGATGCAACAGGAAGAGACTCTTAGGAGAAGTGGAGCAACTGGAAGAGGCTCTTAGGAGATGTGGAGTACCTGCCTTCAGTGTGCTAATAATATGCAACTCTATTTCTCTGTATCGTCAGATTCAGGAAAGACACCATAAGGAATGGAACAAAGCATGTGAAAGCAGGTTGATACATCTGTAGCTGATTGGGAAGCACATCAGGACATCTTCTGATGATGAAAAGAATCTGTATCCTCATTCCAAGCCACTAGATGTTGTAAAAGGAAGTGACATGCAGCAAAATTGGATTTGAGCCTGCTGGACAGAAGCCGATTATGTGCATGCACAAGTCTGTTTGCACAACACAAATTCCTCTCTCCATCACTTCTGCAACCTTCCATCACTCTCCTTAGAAATCTCCTTCCAGAGCAGATTTGGAGGATGCACAGCAATCACCTAAAAGTTATGGACATACGGGGTGGAGTTGCGTTGCTTTCCCCTAGTGATACCAGCAGTACTGGTAAATTTCACAAAAGATGCAACAGAGGAGTCCAATTATGTCCATAATTGTTCATGGTGTGCGTGGGGTAAAGGGTGGTGTATTTTTCCCAATGCCAAAATATTGTTATTTGTATGCTCTGGAAATGTGTTTAGCTTTTCAAGTGCTACAATAACAAAAATTCTTTTAACTCCTGCACAAAGAATGAGCAACATTTCCTGAGTAATCTTTGAAACTGACTATGCATGTTGATATCTTAAAAAATCTTAAATGTAACAGGTTAGAGAAACGCAACGTGGAATAGCTATATGTATTCTGATTTCAGAAGTGAATAGCGGCTTTCAGATCTGCTTCATAGCCACAACTTCCACGGGGTGGGACTTTGATGCACAAAGCTGCCCTCAAATAAGAAATCTAGAAATTGGAGTTCCAGGAAAGCACTGGCATACTTACGTCCCCTGGAAACTGCCGGACTGGGGATATGAGTTAATATTATGATCAATGGATTCAATCACATACCTGGAAAGGAATTACAATGTTGATTGTATCACCCACTTTTTTCATTAGAGTCTGTCTGAGATTGCGTGGTAGCCAGATTTTGGGACGTTCTGTGAATCAGAAATCAAATTACAGGATTATTAAATTTATTTCAAATTATGGAACATGTCAAATTTATGAGGATGTAAAGAATGATGATAGCAATTAATGTTACATTATTATAAATCCAAAACATTTAGAGTGAAAGCCATCATCCTATGTTTGGTGGCTGAATATGATTGTGAAGTCTTGATTTTAGAGTGAAAGTCTACTGAAAGAGAGACAATATCATTTCCCATGTTCTGAAACAAACAAATTGAATGTGATCTGAAAAATTTAAATTACAATGTTGCCTAAAGAGCACTTACACAATTATGAGTAAGGAATAATAAACACACAAGCAATGCCTCATGTAGGAAAGCTCTCCTAATGTTGTTCTGAGTCATCCTACCATCATTGGAACTCTGAGGATTGCGCTTTGATTACTCCAGTCAGAGATGAGGATTTAGCAGTTATATCAGTGGTTCCATCTTTTTGGGATCCAGTCAGCTAAATTAGACCACTCGTATTTTGATAAATGATTATGAAGGTGCAGAAAGCAGCATGTTTATCCTCACTTTTCTTGGAAATGTATACCAAGCATGAAAGTGAGATATTGGAGATAAGCATGCAGCAATCCTTTAAGTGGCAGGAAAACTACTTTCAGGAAGAAAACTCCATGAAAGATACTGGCTGGGCTAAGACAACCCGAGAAGCCAAGGTGGTTTTTTAAAACACTGTTGGTCTGTCATGCTGTCTGAATTCAGCCATGGTATTTTACCGGGTAAGTTTGGTCTTTAGAAATCACAATAATAAACAACTTTTTTGGTGTGTGGTTTCTCTGTACAATTATGGCATGTTGTGTTGACTGTACCCCAGGATCATGGTTTCCATGGTCCTGGTATGCAAGTAACACAGAGCCCAATGAAACAGCAGCAACTGTAGGAGACACTCCAGCCATCCAGCCTTGATGGAGAGACCAATGAGGAAGAAGCTGGCAGCATGAGCAGGGAGCAATGTACGTTGGGATTGAATTTTATGTGCAATGGCTGATGGGATACATGCCAACAGCAGGAGGACTAAGAGGGAGGATGGAAGCCACAGTAACACAGAAATCTCTTGACTGTCTGTAGGCTCATGGTAAAAAATCGTGTTAACTATGCAGGGTCATTTGCTGCGTTTTGTCAATCTCGCCACTGTATACAATTAAAATATTAATCTGGGATACTAGTCGACTGAACAGCAGAATCAGAAATGTGCAAATCAAGCCAAGCATCATAAAACATTATACATCAGATGGAAGCATAAATTGATTGCCTGATGTAAACAGCCTAAATTACTAGATTTTGTTCAAAACTTGAAAGGATGGCATTCAGATCAGTTTCAGGAAAATTATGTGCAGTTATATGATTATTTTTAGATTTTTTCCCCTTATACAATGGCATTACAGTTAGAAAGGATGGCAGAGTTTTGGAACAGGTCCAATCCTTTCAGTAATTAAAGCTGATGCAAGTCCAAATGAGGCGTCCAATGTTCCATCTGCTCCAGTTTTGTTGGATCAGTTTGAGGCCCAGTCAAATAGATATGACAGTTCAGGCAATACATTCAATTGCTTGCCTTCTTGACACTTGCCCTTCAAGTCAAATTTGAACTAGCCATAGGGAACTGATAGCAGATCGGTCGCCTGTGTGGTAAATATAGCACTGCAAAAGGGACAGGTGCCTAATATTTTGAAAGAGCTGGTGGTGCACCTGCTTTTCAAGAAACCAGCCCTTGGCCTGGAGCTTCTTAATAACTGGTTCCCATTCACAAATGGGAAGTAGCCATGCAACTTCTGACACTCTTGAAAGAAATGGGTGATGCAGATCCTTTCCAGGCTGCATCCAAGGTTGGTTTTTGGACTGTTTTAGTTTTGGTCACTCTGATGATGACCTTTATCAGGAAAGAGAGAAGGTGAATGCAACCTTGTCAATTCTCCTCAGTCTCTCAGCATGTTTTCATACCACTGGGCAGTATCCAGTGCCGCTGGCCTGAGAGAAGGGCCCACTGGCGCTTCCATTCCATGAATGACCAACTCCACTTATTCCCTTCCACAAGTAATGGAGAATGGAGATTTAGCATTTCTGGGGGGAAACCTCTAGGGGAAAGCTACAAAGAGACAGGTTGGTGGAGTTCTTCTACAAGTTATGCTACCCTGCCCCATTTCAGAAATCAGCAATTTCAGTTGTTTTTGGTGCGCCCAGAAGCACCAACTCTCCATTCCACAGGTGATGGGTGAACTTGTGCAAGGGAGCTGGCTGCTCATGGGTGGTCTTTCTTGGCCACGATCCACCAAGTATGGCATTCTTTTGGATTGGTTTGGCAGTTTGGGGGTTTAGGCATGGTGCTGTGATGGTCCTGCTCCTCCCTGAGGGATTCCTCTTTGAGGAACCATGTCCAGATGATAGCACTGGTTGACTATACCTGAAGCTGCGGAGTCATACAGGGGTCTCTTCAGGCCCAAGGCATCTATGATCAGTGTACTCTGATATCTGACTCTATGTATCTGCTTCATCAGAGTCAGGAATGGCACCATTAAGGGATATTTGCAAGCTGACTGGGAAGCACATTAGCACATCCTTAACAGCTCTTGGACCAGTATTTTGACGCAGTGCTGGGCAGGATGAGGGTCAATAAACTGAGGCTGAATCCTGACAAGACTGAGTCACTGCAGGAAAATGATTCCTTAGTCTGGGAATTAGGAACACTGACTGTTCTGGACAGGGTTGCACTCCCTCTAAAGGTGCAGAAACATGGTTTCAAACCTAACCATGGATAAGACTATTCCCAAAAAAATTCTTCCATTATAACCATTCATCTCATCCTCCAAGTATCTCTTCATTAATTTTATCAATAAAAATGCCCTCAGTGGCTAAAGTTAGCTTTCCTTAGATACTTACGCAAGATCTCTTGGACAGTAATCAGCTCTTTGATAATTGCTGGTGGACTTGTACCGGCCAGGTTTACAGCACTGATGCGAAAATAAAGTCTGTCGCCTGTGACCAGATCTTTAAGCAGAACTGAGGTGCGCTCTGTCAGGTCAGGAAGAGCTGGAATCCATTCTGTAGCTGCAAATTCAAGATCCCTTGTTTGTCATCTTTTTCAAACAGATGTTCATAGAACTATGTCTAATTCAGCCTCTTGCCATGTGGTAACTTTCAGATGCTTTAGGCTATAGCTCACAGCATTCATGAGCAATCTTAAGTATGTTTATGCAGACCATCTCATTTTAAGATTGCAACCTGGAGATAATGTAAATGCAAAGAAGGTTGCTCAGCTCATTTAAGCAGAGGGAGAGGAAAAGCTAGCATGTTCAGAGTGGGTCTGCCGAGTAATTGAGGTTTAAGAAGACACATTGCAAGATTTCATGAGCTTATGTATGATGTTGCAGAGGCTAGAAATGTGTGTCAATCAAATGAAAGCCTATCAAGTGGACACTCATCTCCCTGCTAAAAGACGAGGAAGCAGGAGGGGCTGATGTTGAGAGACAGCGGCCAGCCGAAAGCCACCCTGTGCGCTGGTGGCTGACCACAGCTCATGGCTGCCAACTCTGTCATGAATTAATTCTGATTATGTGCCATGATAACCATAGAAATATAGGCAATAGAAGGAAGTTAACGTATGGATAAACTTTATGGCAGAACATTGTTTAATATTTTCTGATGCATATATTCTTTTAAATTACCTACCTGTTTCTTGAAACCTAAAGAAAGCATGATCCATGTAAATTGATTTTCCATACTCTTGACAACTAAAAGACTGGTACACAGCACTGGCAAAAGCTCACCTCCTACAATGTAGTAGTTCAAAGATTATGTTTCGGTATTTTAGATGTAGACACTACTCTTGAATGGAACCATATATGGATATTGGGTCTGCCTTTGTTGAAGTTTAACCAATACATTTTTATATATGAAGTAATATGGAGATATTTGTTAGAATGTGTTCTGCTTTGTTTTGGTGCAATTCACAACAAAAATAAATTAAATAGTATTATAGGTAATGATTAGGATTAGGGTTTCTAGAAGGGAAACTCTGGGGATTCCACCTGCAATCTCAGAAATCTGAAGACAGACACATGGTTGCTCTCTCAGCTGTGCTACTCCCACCCTTTACCTCTTTTTCCTTTCCAAAGTGTCCTGCCTTCATTAGCAAAGTCAGCTAAAAGGACGAGCCTTGAACACCATTTCATTAGCTCAGTGGAAGCACAGTTTGGAATGTGCCAGAGCTAACTCACATCCTTCTTTGCAGTACTCAATGTTGTACCCATCCAGTCCTCCTGCTCCAATCCGTTCTGGGGGTCTCCACTTCAAGCTAACAGACGTATCGGAAATGTCTTCTACTGTAAAGTGTGTTGGCTCACTTGGAGGAGCTAAACAATATAAAATCCAGAGACATTGAATCATTGGTTGAATGTTGATAAAATAATAACCCAGCAGTATTATTAAAAATGCAAAGGTGGCATCAAAAGACTTCCTTTTGCAAAAATGCAATTTAAAAATTTAGTCAGCAATTCAGTATAAAACCATCTAAGATGACCATTCTCAAAACATCCCATCAGATACCTGTCAAAATTTTTTAAAGAGAACTCTTGCACTGGGTTTTATTCCATGAATATTGCGCTGTGACAAAGAAGGACCTGTTTTGTATTTTAGTAGATTAATCTTGATTTAACCCTATTAGGAGACACAATCTCCTATAGAGCTTATCAATAGCGACACCTTAAACAGGGATTGAAAACTGATAGACAATCAAGACCATGTCCTTAGAGTAGGACTTAAATGCCGTTGGTGACCGGTAAGGAGGGAAGCTGCCGCATTCTTCACTGGACCCAGCTTCTAAATACTAGATTTTAATGATCAGTGCTCATGGTCAGAACAGATGAATGGGGCAATTGTTTATCTTGCTATGACATAAAATGAAGGATATAGGGCTAGCAAAAATGTGAAAATAATCTCTAAAGTGTCTTCTGGAGACTCAACAGTTAACAGCTAAAAGCTGAGCAGGAAGGGACATCAAACTGCTTTCTGGATACATTCCAGACCAAAGGACAATGAAGAGACTGGCAAAATAATGTGGATACATCCACTGTGGTGATAAAAGCCTAGACATCAATATTAAACAAATTCCCTCACAATTCTTCTTTCATACATTTATTCCTTGTACAAACATGCCTGGATGACTAGTATAAAAAACTGGAATGAAACAAAATGTCACAAAAGGAATGTACTCTGACATTGTTTCCTTGATATATCTGAACCTCCCAAGTGGAAAATGACTGCCAATGAGGACTCTGTACTCCACAGAAGCAACGAGGAATATCAGAACAAAGCACTGGACACCTTAGTACATTCAAGTTCCGTGTGTCCTGAATTCACTAAATGAACAGCCAAGAGCCAAATCAGTTGGTGACGCGAATTCAGCTGGATCTGACTCTTCCTTCGGTGTGCCTCAGTCTCTCGTCAGCTCCAGGTATAGAAGTAGACAGAGGCAGTTCAGTTTCTACATTCACTTTGCCAGCGCATAGAAGAGACTGAGGAAGTTCCATTTTGCTTGTGCCACATGACAGGAGCACATGAGCACGAATGCATCTACCGTCACACACATGTTTCAGGTGCAGAAGGGGCATGCTGCACCTCGTTGCTCTTCCAGCTGCGGCAGCAAGGAAGGGGTTACAGGCCTGAATGGAGGTGTTGGGGCAGAGCTCAGGAGTCCTAGGTGAGTGAATGTGGAGAGTGTAATTATAAGAGAGTATGAGGTGTGGGGAGGAAGCGAGGGCAAAGGAAGAGAAATTGGGCTGTTTTCAGTGACTTCATCTAGCACGAGGATGGCAAAGACCAGCAAATATTTGGATTACATGTAGATGATCCCAAATTAATCCTATGTTTACTGACTATAGAAGTCACAGATCTATGGTGATAAATTTGGAGAAGAATGAGATTACCTTCAGGTTCAGAAGTCATAACTGTGACTATATGTGATACTAGATTCCAGCACTACTGTGGTATAAAAATTTCTAGTACTTAAAGACAGTTTGAACCAAAGAAGTATCTTTTCCATCTATATTTGACTGCAAAGCTGAAATGTTCTGTAAGCAAAAAAAATTCACCTAAGATTGCAAAGGGCCTTTAAATGATGTTAACAGGTGGCTTTAAACAAATCCTATAAATAAATAAATAAATAAATAAATAAATAAAATGGCAGCTATTCCATAATTTTGGAGCATTCATATCATTCTGATTGTGGGAATAAAGGAAAACACATTTCAGCTAAACAATTTTTGGCATGCCATGTGTGTTTTTCATAAGGCAATCTGCTGCGACATTTAAACATATTGTGTGCATTATTTAAAATATTTCAACCATGCAGAATGTTCTGTACAACATTAGACCCACTTAAAAAATAATCACACAACAGATGGAGAATCTAATGTTAGTATCCCACCTCATGGTGTTGCAACAAATGCATCTTACTCATTTGCTTCCCTGAAATTACATTTAATTAAAGCCAATCATTAAAAGTCATTGTAAAAAGCATGTGCATCACACGTAAGAGGAACATGGATGTGAGCACATTACCACACAATGCCCTTTACAAACCCAGTGCCTCATCTCCAAACTTGCTGGGTAGAACCTTATTTCTCATCAAGTAGATCATTTCTAATCCAGGAAAACCTCCGACCTTTTAGCTCAGTTGCTTCATGCAGCTGGTTTTGTATTTTTCCTTGCTCCACAGGGCCATTGTTGAGTTGTGGTTGAAGATCAGAGTTAACCATCTCCTCCTGAAATGCCTCTTTCTCTTCTGGACCACCAGTGGGGCCCTGGGGGTTCATACTGGCATCTTCAGAAAGCTTAGGGTCTTCTGCAAGCTGACCCACCTCTTTAGTCATTTTTGTCAATGCTCCACCTCGGCTGCTCAGATGCTTCCCCCTGCCCCCAGACTCATACAGTTTGTCTGTAGTTCAGGGACTGATAGAAACACTGCATGGTAAGGGTCATAGTGATTATTTATAGAAAATAATTCCATGGATATTTTCTTAATCAGCTATCCTTGTAGGTCCAGGGGAGGGGGGTGTTAAATGGAGCACTGAGTAGTATACTGTGATATTTGCACCCATAATGGAGTAGGGGAAGTTGAGAAGCAAAGGGAGGTCCTTGTCAATTAGTTTCCCTCTCTCACCAAGACCCAGCTTGCCTCTCACACCTCTAATTTTAACAGTTAGAATTCATCAGCGATTTCATGCAAGGAGAACCACCCTGCTCCCATTTACATGGAGGAGTTTTAAAAAGTTAGAAATGAAAAAGCAGATAAGTAGCTAGTCGGCTCTCTTAAATATGGGTCTTTGTGTTCCTGTTATGTAGAGGCAGAAGATGTGATTCTGTTTGTGTGTGTCTCTTGCCCCCCTTCGGAAGTAACACCGGACGCAGCGACACTCACCGATGGGCACAAAAGGCTGAGAGGCAGGGCTAGGCCGGGACATGCCAACGGAGTTCACGGCATAAATCCTCATCTCATAAACAACTCCTTCAATCATTCTCTTTGCTTCATAAGTCAGATCCTTCAGAAGGTCAAAGTTCAGCCTCATCCACCTGTAGCTCTTCTTCTTTTTCCTTTCTAAAATGTATCCTACAAATTCAACAAAAACAATGTAAGGAAACTAACAGAGGATTTCTTTGCTGCTGCCTCCATCCTACAGTCTCCTGCACCCCACAAGAAGGCTCTCCCGAGGGTCAGGGGATCCTTGGCAACTGTGTCAGATGGGCTTACTAAAAAGGACACACAGTTCTTTAGCAGGAGGCTTCTACACGCTTGCACTGGGTTGGATGCAACCTATTTGCATGCTGCCAAAACCTCAGCACAGGTGCTTTTTTGGCTATTCAACAAAGAGCAAGGTGGGTTATAATTTAATGAGAAAACAAGGAAAGGAAAATCCATCACTGTAATGTCTTTCATCCTCAGTTTTAAGAATAAGCTTGGTCCTTAATTCACACCCAGAGGGCACAGTCAAGGCTTACAAACATTCAAAGCACAGCGCAAGGTGTAGTTGCAATCCTCACTTCGCTTGTGCCTTGCACCCTCCACTTGGTCTCAAAGGCCATTTTGGGCTGTCTAGAGTTAGGGCCCATGAAAGAGAGAGGAAAAGGCTGCATGACTTGGGAATGAGCACAACTCCGCAGCTCCAGCCTCCTCACCTCTTGCTTCCAGCACACCCTTCAAGGCCTAGTTGTGACTAGGTTGGGCAGCTGATGTGGTTCTGGCTGCAAGGGGGTGTGAGGCAGGGGGTCTTTGGAGCTCAAGCACTGACATCAGAGGACCTCAGTGCTCAAACTTTAAAAAAGGATGGCCTCCCATATCACATCAGGAGAAGATCTTAGGGTTGTGCTCTTACAGACGTATCAACCAACCACAGATTCATTAACTTAGCCTACTTTTATACAGTCTGATCCCCGGTGTTTCCTCTAAGGTGTCCCACTATGTTTCATGAGGCCAGTTCCCATGCAGACATGCACAGGATAGTGGCTAAAATAAGCACAGCCTGACACCCGTCTATGAATTCAGTTCAAACACCCAGAGGCTTTTCTGTTCAGAGTCAAGCTGGAACCAACCCATGACCACTGTTTGATCCTGCCTAACATCTATGCAGAAGGCGAAACACTCAGCTGTAGAAATCATGGAAGACAGAGTCAATCCTGTTTTCCAGAAATGTCTACTGGCATCTCAGCTGACTTCAACTGATCCTGGAAAAGCAACTTTCTTCAAAAGGCCCGAAGGGAAGGCCAGTCAGTGTTTATGGATGGGCTCCCAATTTCTAACAGCCATCAGCACCCATCAAGGACAGAGGATCAAGGGCCCAAATTATGTAATAAATCCCAGCATCAGCTCTGTCTTCCTGTTGTGTGTGATCTCCTTTATTGGAGCTGTTAACAAAATCCAGAGTATTAAAGGCTCATTCACCTATGCATCTCTTAAACTAATTTGTGACTTTTCAGTCACCAGCAAGTAGTCATTCCATAATTAAGAAATACATTTGGAATATTAGGAATAGATACATACAGAAACTCATAAGGGTACATTTCAATTTGTCTGGATGCTAAGGTTTTCCTCTAAAGGTAGCCATCTTTTGGCAGAATAATTCCATGCCTAATCAAAGCCAAAAGATGCAGACCTGGAACTTATGAATGAATTTTATAACACTTCCTAAGGTTTGAATGCTGATTTGATTTTTGTGTGATGCAAAAGATGTCTCACTCTGCTCCGTGGGGGTTATGCCCTAGTATCTGTGCTTAGAATTGCAGCCTTATTCCACAGGTGTCAGCAAGAACACCTTTTATGCTGAAATGCAACACCTGTGATGTTATTAAGTGGAAAAGAAGCATGATTAAAAATCCATTGCACTGTAGCCTTTTAATTAAATTTCCAGGTGCAAAATTGGATTCAAGGATGTCAGCTCATATGTTTCATCTAGAAGATTATTGCCTAGAAAAGAGTTTTGCCAAAAACCATTTAGGCTTTACCACAAAATGGTGCTTCCTGCAGGCCTTGGGCACAATTTCACACTTGGACTTTTTCTATATGAGGCTGTTAATTAGATGTTAATCCACTGTGTTTATTTTTGATTTAATCACAGCATGGAACTTCGAGCGCTGCACAAGTACAGCAGGACCCCCATATCTGCAGGGATAGGTTTTGAGCCTTCCAGTGAACGCCTGAACCCATGGATAGTAGTGGACAGGGGTTAGGATGCAGGACCTCTGCAAAAGTGGAAAGAACATGAATATCTATAGGATCATCATGCCCACTGAGAGACAAACCTCATGAGTGGGGCTGACTAGCAGAACTGAGACAAAGACCGTAGCATCCCCAAACAGAGTGCGTAGTTCCCTAGAAATATCTTCAGGTTTTCCCTAGAGATACTCATGGATTTCCCACTTTAATTGGGGTTCTGCATCCCTAACCTCCACAAATGTGGAGGGGTGATTGTCAACCTTGGTTAAGTGAAACTGCAGTAATCCAGATAGCGGATCTGGGATCCTGCTGTATTTCTTTTCTGCTACATAACCTTTAGGTGGCACTGTAGTATAGTGAAACAGTGCAAACATATCTGAAGAAATAGGTCTTCATTTCACTGTAACAATGAAACAATACATTTTCCCTCCTCTAAAAACTTTGTTGAAAATGCTGGTTTGACACAGAAACAAATCTGGAAGATCACAATGTTTTCTAAAAAACCATAAACGACCACGAGTAGAGAATGGATGTAGAAAAGCCCGACAAAAGACAGGATGAAGACCCTTGATTTTAATCATGCCAACAATATATGGAGCAGTGGCCTGATGACAACTTCTTCCTGTCCTCCAGTTTTGGTACTTAATATTCCCATTACTGAACTTGTTGCAGGGTCAATTGTTACAATAGAAGTGATTTCTGCCTCTGCCTTTTGTGAAGTTGAGAGAAATCAGCAAACATTTTTCTCATCATGGCTTTCTACTCTGAGCCTTCCAAAGTAAGCAGAACTCTCTCCCATCTCCTTTGTCACCATTTTTGTGTAATGCAAGATGTCTACTACCTGTCCTTCAATTGGACAGGTAGTGTACACCTTGTCCTTAAAATCGTAAAACAATATATATCATTTTGTGAGCAGACAGGAAATTATTCTCAGGCTTACTAGCTGTTGTTGTTTTTAAGTTGTCTGGTGAGTCTATCACTACATAAATTCTTACCCAGTACTGGTTGTCCTCCATCATACTGAGGAGGTTGCCACTGCACTGTGCAGTTATCTTCACCAACCTCAGTGATTTTGGGAGCTTCAGGTGGGTCAGGTACATCTGGAAAAAGAAAGGGATGTGTATGTTAGGTGCAAGGGTATAACATCCCCTGAAAAGGTGGGTTCTTTTCATCTGCCACTGCCACCACAGACTTAGGAATGTTTTCTAGTTCTTGTAATTGTCCCAGATTTTGGGGGGCTGCTGTGTAGTGTTGTTCTTAATTCTCTCATTCTTTTCCTGTAAATCTACCTTGTCATTTGGTTGGTCCTTGCTTGCACTGTCAAATATTTACAAAGCATGCTAAAAGCAGGCTTAGATTGTTTCATCTAAGAGCTCTTCTGTGGGACCAAGCTAGGCAGACCAACATTGTCTTCTACAAATCTCTTCTTTGTTGATCTGTTTGAGGCCAGCAACATGATGTCTTTGCTAAAACTGCATGGCAGCTTATCTGAGTCTATTCCATCTGAATGAAATCTGACCTTTACTTGGACCCAGCTCTCTGCAGTCAGGATTGGTACTGAAGCATCTGCCAAATAAGTCTAAGCTCAAAGTATGTCCAACTCCATGACAGTCTTTAGCTTTGGATAGATTAAATAAGTGAAGTCTTAGTGGGCCCTTCCAGCCTCATACAGGATAGGAGGAGGTGGAGGAGGCAGAGCGGTTGGAATATCCAGTCTGTCCCAGTTACTTTGAAATCAGAGACTAAGCCACTCTTAGCATCAGCCCATGTGGCTCCATTAGATTTGGGGTAGAGAGTCTTGCCTCAAATTTCTTCTCTGAACAACTTCTGCAAGTGACTATTTTGCTCAAGAAAAAGCAGATGGTCTCAACCAAGGGTGTGTAGGAAGCATGTTGGAAGATACCCTGCCATCTCAGACAAGGGCATGGGAATGGAATTTTCCAGTTATCACCATTTGGTATCTGTTCCTCCTGCATGATTGACTCTGGGCACCTCCATTTCTGTGGTGGTCCTCACATTTGGCTCTTCCAACACCGGTCTTTACATCAACTCTAGTCCTGCCAGTGGTACAAATGCTGGGCTTGTTTCTGATCAAAGTGGCATCGGGTTCAGTACCGTTGATAACTCACATGGTGTACCTTGCTTTATTCTTGGCTCTGCTGATTCCTGATACTGTTGAGCATCAGCACAACCCCTACCTCTGCCCCACATCAGTGGCCCCAGAGTCTATGGACCCAGTGTCATATCCAGATAACTATTATGCCAGGTTATCTTCTTCACTATTCTTGATCGCATCCCCATCTTCCCAAAATGTGGCCCCTGGGGATCAAACTCCATTGTTATTAATGGCTGATGTCCACTTCTTACCAAGCAGGTGATTAGGATAGCTAAATGCTTGGACTTAGATACTGAGTCTCTACTGGCCCTAGTTACGGATCCATTTTTTCCAGGGAGTATAACTGGATCTGGGCATGGCTGTGATGAACCCACTATGGACAGCACTTCTCTGTGTCACTAAGCAATCATGGAACATATTTTTTCCAAAAAAAGGAAGAATTATGTTTTTTCCAAGATGGCGCCTGCAGGGTGGTGTAACCAGTGAGCGGTGCATGGAGGTCTGGGCCAGAATCAAAGGTGACATGGGCTGCAGACCGGAGGTTTCTCACCCCAATCTGAAACAAGGAAAGTACACTTTTTCCTGTGAGCATTGTTCTAAATATATGTAAACTGACTGATTAAGGGTGCGACTGTACACACATTTAGACAGAAGAAAGTCCTGCAGCTCTCAGCAGCCTCCAGCCTTCATGGCTGGCTGGAACATACTGAGAATTATAGGACTTTGTTCTGTCTAAACATGCATCGGATTGCACCCTAATGTAATACTAAAGCTCACATCACTACACAATTTCAGTCAGTTGACAACTCAAATTATTCTTCAGATTTATGCATACCTGAAAACACAGTAGTTATGGGCAACTTTCTATCATTGTTAAAGGACATAAACGTTTATGCAGCATATATTATTGATGTATGATGTTTTTATCAGGTATAATATTACTGTGAAACAATTTCCCCACAAAATAGCAGGTGAAAAGCCTTAAAAGTTAACATTTAGGGGGCACAAAGTTTGCACTGTACTACTTATTATGCTACTGTAAAATAATGGGAATGGTTCCTTTTGAGTAATAAATGGTAATATAATTGAAATCAGTAGAAAGTCAAGTTGTGGTTAAATATGACATATGTTAAAATAAGGTAAGGGGTATTTGGCCAAATTACATTAGGACTGATGGTGAGAGGCTGAAAAATAATCTCAAAATGACCTGAAAAATACCTCAAAGTTACTTTTGTCCTATTTAGTTAAGATTTGTATCTCTAATATTCAAGGGTTTGGTCTTGACTCATTCTAGGTCATAGAATTAGAACTGGTATCAGGAGAGAATGGGCATGCCTAAGGGTTTGGGATGTGCCTCTCTCTTGCTTACCGATAACCTTCACAGTGATATCAGCTGTATCTTCTCCTGCTGGATTCTTTACTGTAACCCTATAGACACCCTCATCTTCCTTCTCAGCACCTTCAATAATGAACACACAGTGATCTGCATACTTCTCCACACGGACTCTGCCTTCCGAATCTGCAATTTGCTGTCAGGAATTAAAACAAAAAGAGAAAAAGAGAGAGCGGGGGGCGGGTTCGCCCGGGTTGTCCAGAGGAAAGCCTGCCCAGCATCTTAAGCAGTTTGGTATGGAGTCCAAGGAGGGGCATCTCAGGGGTATGTTGTGTGAGCAAGCACAACTATGCCGGCACCTGGGTGGGCAATGATGCCCCTATCATCAAACCTTTAAATTAAACCTTGTAGGTAGAAAGAAAATGCAAGGCGTATGGCATTGCCCTGTCTTTGTTGGGAAAATTAGCTCATAAACAAGAGAGGGTGGAATGAAATTAATACAATCTGCTTTGGTGAACAGAGAAGAAGGGTGTGCTTTGACTCTGTTCCTCACGGTCAAATCAAAACCTACGCTGGAGTGAAGAACTTTGCTTAGTTTCCCCTAGATCAGTTAAAACTCTGGAGGCTTGTCCCAGGAAAGAGGGGTGAGACTTCTGGGGTGCAGCATGAAACTAAGGGGTGGCAGATAGGCTCCTGAAGTCCCCTTCCACCAGCCCAGATCTGTGCACAGTGAATGCTCCTTGAAAGTGGATGCCGACTGATCCACACCAGATGTGTCAGGATGATGGCACACTTTGTTGCTTTATCAGTAAGGGATGGGAAAGAGTTTCTGTTTTTGCTGTTATGCTCCGCCTTAGAAAGGGATCAGGCATGCTCCTTTTTGAATGCTGATGCAGCATCACTGCTGCTTGGCAGACCCTTGCAGATAGCAGCAGGATGTATGCGCATGCCTCTGTGGGACAGGTGGGTGGCGCTTGTTCAGAGGCCCTTTAGAGGCAGCGTATGTTTAGAAGGGGTGTTCAAACTCAAAACATCTGTGAAAAGCTTTACTGTAGATGCATGTGAATGGGGTTTGAAGAAACAACTTATAATCACATTTTAAAAGGAAATAGCTATGTATCATTACAGCACAGGTGAATTTTCCCATTTCTTCCCAGCTCAGAGTGCTTTACAGGATCTTGATATTTGTTCAGAGTCAGAATGACTCTGCCTGAGTATTTGAAGAATGAAGAACTTGCCTGGTTCTCATTACTCGAGGCTCCACACATGTCTGCAGGTTCTGTAGATTTGGATTTGTCATTCATTAGCACCAGCTCCTTGTTCTGGAGAGACACAGAAAGAATTATATTGTACTGAACAAAACGGAAGAAGCAGAATCAGCCTTGGAGATTCTAGGCAGCTGTCTGCCACAGTATTTTTTAAAGGGCAGCGGTTGGGCAGTAGTGAGGTTGGAGGTAATTTTTCCTTGGCAACACCTTGGAATACATAGGTGAGTGCTCAAGAGCAGCAGCAGGTAAAAGATGGAGGCCTTGAAGCACCTGGCAGTGAGCAAGAACTGCTTCACCGAAATCCCAGGGGTTATGTTCTGAAAAGGGAAGCTGCCAGGCCTCGGGATCAAGTCCTCCAACATGCTTCAGACCCAACTTGTTTTACTTTCTGTTAAGGCCAAAGCACTGCAAAAAATGTTTCTCCACTTCTTTACTACATTGAAAAGAATCATTTCCATACTGATGTCCTAAGGAGAAGTGGGCCAAATGGATCCCTGGCCTTTCTGGGGGTGTGAGGACTAATTGTGAATTGCCTGGGCCCCAGAGGGTGAGCAGAACCCTACTGAATGGCATAGGTAGGGGAAGAGGTTAACAGTAGCATGGAGACCCATCAGGCCTCAGTAGTGAAGCAGGTGGCTGGATGACGGTCTGTGACTGGCCCAAAGTCACCCAGTGAACTTTGTGGCTGAGTGGGGATGAGAACCGCAGTCTCCCAGATCTCCAGTCCAACGTTCTAACCACTATTAGAAGGGTACTTTAAATGTAGCCAGGGCATTGAGGCAATTAGCCCACTATTGGCTATTCCGAGTTGTATTCCCAGCCGTAGCACTAGCCTCCAGGTGCTGAATTTGGGGCACTGTAGGTGTGAACCTGGTGTTCTTCCGGGGAACTGTGGCCCCGTCCCTTCAGGAGGATTTTTGGAAAGGGGAACTCAATCTGATGGCACCCTAGAAATGTTATAACATGCCAAAAAGGTACTCACAGTAAACTGGAATAAAGGAATAATCATTTAAGAAAAGCCTCATGGGAATTGGAAAATAAAAGCTGGATCTACAGTACAGAATTAAATCAGGAAGAAATGCCTTTTAAATGCCCCACTGTTTAGTTATATACTAATGCTGAGCACATTTCCTTGATGACTAGCAGCATGTTGTTGTGGAAAAGGATAATATATTTTTAAAATAAAAATGATAAAATATATTTGCCGCCATGCACATGCCTCACTGGCAGCCCCTGAACTCTAAGAAGTTTTAAACCTAAGAAAAGGGATGCTTGACTGCAGCATACTTGTGGGGGGGGGTCCCTTCCTGCCATGCGGGCCTGGGAGCCTATTTGTCACTGCCCCCATCACCTGCCACTTCCTGGGCTGCCCTTCAGCCCTGAGATCCAGCCAGGCCCACAACTAGGTGCCGCAACAACAGTGTGGTGCTGCTGCGATCAAAGGGCAGTGGAGCTTTCTACACCGTCTTTGACCAGTTATCTTTCCTGACTGGGCCGCAGCTACACCAAGCATTCACTACAGCGCTATATCAGCAGAGTAACTCCTGACACTGCTCATTTTCAGTCTCTTGGGTGCTGGCCCTCTCCTTCTGTTCGGGGTTGATCCTGCCAGCTTTATGCCAGCTCTCCACCCTCTTGTGCTTCAGTTGCTGGGTATGCCATCAGGTGCATGCTCACTTGGCATGGTCCTTCCTCCCCTCCAGGGAAGTGTGGGGGTGGGGGAGAGGAAGCCCCCCACCCCACTGGGGCTTGGCAAAGTGGGGCAGCAACTCATGGGTTCTTCAGGGGCTTTTCTGCCTTTCCAGGACTTTTCTCTCTGACATGTAAATGCCCCTCCTCTCTCCTACTTCCGCTTCCTTAAAAAATAAAGCTCATAGTTAGAGTTGGGGCTGCAGAACTGGACTAGCTGTTACCATTGCTGAATGAAAGTGGAAACTACCTTTTTAAAACCAAGCAGTAGTTTGTCTCTTGGGCAGTGGAAAAATTACAACCCCCTAGTTCTCCCAACACTGTGCACAAATAGCACCTCTCTGATTGCTTGAACAGTAACAGAAATGTAGTTGATGTGAAAACCAGTGGCTGATGGGGTTACTTCATGACCCCCCCCCCACCCACTAGCACTCTGGCATCATTGTATAGCCACTGAGCATTGCTAGTCCTCAGTGAGCTGTTTTTAGGTCCCCTTTAGAGAGTTGTCCCCACCACCCCAACCGGCCATCTTTTGTATTTCTGCAAACCTTGGTCCTTGCTAGTTTGCTGATACCTCCCTCTTCTGTATGGCTTGTATCATTTTGGCTACATAAGCACGAGCAGCCTGAGTGTCAAACTGCCCAGGCAGCCTGCAGGCTATTGGACAGTATAGAAATGTAATAAATAAAAATTAAAAAAATAGACAGAATGGTCTTCAACACACTCAGAACAAGACATATTGGAGCAATTTGCAATGGGTTAGTTTGAATTTCTGTGAAATGATCTGCAGATTCTGCAGCAGACCAGTGCAATTCCATGAACTCACAGACTTAAAAAAAATATTTTGGTTGGTTATGTGCAAATTCACACTTGCACACAGCTGGAACAAATTCTTATACATTCCTAACTAAATAAATAATTTGACTGTGTCCACGAGCAGATCACGGAACAAAAGACACCTGACAATCTGCAAAACCCAGACAGAACTGATTTAACAAAGTCTATACATCCTTACTAAGAACTAAGCTATGTTGCTTTAGGATTTATTTCCAGATGAGTGTGTCTTCTTAGATAGTTAAACAGAAAGCCTCCTCATTGTTTTAATTTAGAAAAAAATAATATAATATTTTTAGGTGCAGAATTTTTTAAAATCAAGTAAGAATTTTGAAATAAATCATGTAAGAGCAAAAGCACCAAGTCAGCTTGGACACGGCAGCATTTTTCAGGTTGTGTTACCTTGCTTACTTTCTGCCAGATCACGGTGGGCACTGGATCTCCTGATATGGGTACATCAAGTCTCAGCTTGTTTCCTGCCACCACAATAATGGTGTCAGGAGTCTGGCCCATGCAGTCCAGGTGGATTTTGGGTGGTTCTGCAGCAAAAGCATAGAAAAGTGGCATTTTCCAACATATCTGAGAATTAGTCTAAAATGGGGAGACTTTTACATAGCTTCTATTTCAGGGGGTTGTAGAATAATAAACACTGCCCTTACCTTGCCTAGGCACGAAGTCAATCTTAATTTCTAGAAGAAAACAGGAAAAGGATAAATGCACCTAATGGTTATAGAATGGAACTGATTATAAATTTAATTAAAACACTTTCCTACTGAGTAAGATGACAAAGTAAGGACAAGCATGTGGCATGTGTGATGACAGGAGAAAATGGGACACACAGTAAAAGACACATCGTCATTAATCCCCCTCAAAGTACCCCCCTCACTCCAAACACACTTATTCCATCGTCCTTGCCACTTTCTGAAGCAGATGTGGAAGTCCTCTTTCATGAGTGTCTTTAGTTGCGCTGTTGTGGTTGCCTCAATGTCCTGAATCAATTCAAAATGCACACCGCTTCTGGTACTGCAATTTCTGTCAAATAAAAACATTATGGTGTGTTCTCATCCACCTTGTTCACCAGATCTTGAGACTTGTCCCCAAAGTCAAAATGACCATGAAAGTTAAATGTTTTAAATCAGTTCAGGACATCGAGGCAGCCATGACAGCACAACTAGAGACACTCACAAAAGAGGACTTCCAGAACTGCTTCTGAAAACGCAAGCATTGAAAACATGAAGGACAACTTGGGAGCACAACAGACAATGCTTATGTCACAACCGTGATTTTTTCACTTTGCTTGTAGTTCAAACATAGATGCATCATTTTAATTTTGGAACCATTTTATCTCAACTCTAATGTTCAAACTCTAGATTGTTTGAAGTTAGAGTTGTTCAGACTATGAGGCACCACTATATACTATTTATCTTTCTTAGGAATTGCCAGAAAATAGTGCCAAATTAATTGGATGACTGAAGCTCCTGTGAATGAGAGGTTCTCAATTTATTCCAGGGGAAGTATGTCCTCACAGATCGGCTTTTCTTGTCAAAACCAGGAGAAAAGCCATTCTGGCAAGAGAATTCTTGCCTTCAGAACAGATCATTGGCTTAAGCTGTCCATAAGTGTGTTTCCCAACCTCTGTCTCCACTCCCTGTTTTCTATTGCCGGCACATGTAAAATGATATCAGTGTTACAGAGCTGTTGTAAATGTAACGGAGAGTTTTATGTGAAATGATTTCAATACTCAAAAGGCTAGAAAAATGGGACAGTGGTGGTGGTGATGATTTACTAATACTACAGTATTAGTTTTTATACTTAAATGTCACCAAACCTCCCATATCTTCTCACACCAAATAAAGGGTCTTTGGTGGGTCTCTAATGCCTATGTATTAACTGTATATTTAAAAACAAGCCTTGTTGCACTCCTACCAGTTATTAGAAAGCAGAATCCAGGACGCTTACCTAAAAAACGAAGATGTGCTGAGAGATTGTATGCAAATCCTTCAGGTACAAAGGAATAATCAGCTTCGTCTTCTGGGGTTACATCATCAATGGTCAATTTATGTATTCTGAAGAACACAGATATTTTTGTTTGAGAGCATAGCTCACTATGCAGGACAAATTTTATCTTCAAACTGGAAGGGCAAGGTTAGAAAGAATCCCACATGTATATATACATATTTATTTTCTAAGTTGTGATAAATAAGCAATATATGGCAACCTGTCTCCCAATATGGCTTTTTGGCAAGGACCATCACTTGATTAAGATAAAATCAATGGTATGGCATCAGTCCAGTTACCTGCAGGCCCACGCCCGGAGGGATCCTGGAGGGCACAACAACGAACTATTTCCTTCTTTCCTTGGGATCACATGCAAGCACTGTGCCAGGTCATCACAGGCGATGGAAGGCATCTATGCAAGCCTCTAACATCCCTGTCTGTGCTCATATGAGCCAATACATACAATTTTCTTAACCAGGTGAAAAAATGGAAATGTTGGAACCACACTATAATGGGCTGGTCCAGCGTCTACACACATGGAATGCAGACAGGGCTCCATTGTGGCTATTAGAATCTTCCCACAGATTGCAGTGGACTGGGCTGAGTCCTAAGGCTCAGTTGTCAATTCAGATGAAGACTGCAGCCAAATGAGACTTTGAACGGCAGCACTGAAGGAACTAGAAATGGTCATCAAGTGTACGGATGTTTTATTGCAGACCAAGATCACCCACAGGATTGCATTCCTGATCAATATGTATTTAAAATAAAGTGAAAGCTGGAGAGTGATGAAAGCTGACAGGAAGAAAATGGAGACATTTGAAACATGGTGCTACAGGAGAGCTTTGCAAATACACTGGACTGACAGAAAGACAAACAAGTGGGTCCTAGATCAAATCAAACCAGAACATGCCCTGAAAGCAGACATGATGAAACTGGGGCTGTTGTACTTTGGACACATCATGGGAAGGCAAGACTTCCTGGAGAAGACAATCGTGCTAGTAAAAGTTGAAGGCAGAAGAAGAGGAAGACCAAATCCTAGATGGACTGATCTCATGAAGGAAGCCCTAACCTTGAGTTTTCAAGAGCCAAGCAGGGCTGTCAATGACAGGACAATTTTGAGGGCACTCATACATGGGGTCACTGCATGCCAGAGGTGATGAGTTGGCATGTAACAACAACAGCACACTGCGGTTAGGTATCTGGGGGCATTTCATAAAGTAGTGGCGATTTTCAATATACAGTGTAGGCCATCATGTTACATTGAATGCACAGTCCCAGACAAACTATTTGAATTCCTAGAAATTCAAAGATGTTCCCATTTACTGTTGGCAGTCACCTAAATGCAGATCAATGGCATTCATTAGGGCATGTCTGAAAAGTGGGAAAAATATATCATTTTTGAACATTCACAACGTTCATCTCAGATCAGAATTTGAATAGGAATCTCAGTATTCACTATAGCATAATGGCTGGCTATATACAACTCTATATCTGTTTAAACACCAATAGCATTCTTAAATATCTGCTTCCCTCTCACAGGGAAGCTAACCGTCTGATTATCACAAAACCCAGCATGCAAGACTGGTTTATATACCACCCCTGTTCTTTCACCACATCCAGTCAAAGGGAACTTGTATGTCCTTGCTCAGTATTTTGAAGCATGACTTACCTGCCAATATGAGAGATCTTAATCCGCTCATCTGGGATCACCTCCTTCCCATTTTTCAGCCAGATGCCTTTCACGTTCTCATCTGAAACCTCACACTTGAACACAGCCTGGTCCCGTGCCTTCACTGTTAGGTCTGCAATACTTTGGTACACCTCCAGCTTCTTCTCTGAGGTCATGAATTTGGGGATGAAGCAACACAAACATCAGCAGGTCAGAGGTCAACAAAGGACCAAAGTTATTGATGTGGCTTTTACAAAAAGAAGAGGCTAAAGAAACTGTTTAGGGAAAGGCGAAATAGGAAGAGACATCCAGAGCACGTGAATGACTTTAAAGAGACTTGATAAGCAGACACCTGTTACTATCAGGATATCTATTACATCCGGCACATAGGCCTAACAATCCTTCTTAATACACTCTGGAGGCCCGCACGATTAGCCGCACCACAGTTAGCAAACTACTTATCCGCCTTTATTATACCAAAGAGCACTTTAGTGCTGGTCTCCAAAATTTACATTAAAAAGAAAAATCATATTACTTAGCTCTCACCTTGTACAATCAGTTCAGCAACAGACTCGCCACCATTTGTCTTCAGCTTGTAGTGCCCATTATCTTCCTTGGTGGATTCATTTATGATGAGGTAATGCTTTTTTCCATCTGTTTTGAAGCGGTATTTGAATGCCTCTTCCCGAGTGAGCTCTACTCCATCTTTCTCCCTAGAAGGATCACATTGCATTGTGCTGACGTGGCAGTCATTGGGCTGCCCACATTTCATTGTGTGCCCTTTGGTGAAACCAACTGGTTCATATATGAAGTGGACACAGTTTTACCCCCCTAGATGTTGCATGGGAAAGAATTAATTCATGCTGATGAAATGCAAACCCCAGCAGGAATACACAAACCTTGTGGGACTCGATGACAAGGTTTCAAGGTGGCTAGATGGAGGGGATGCAGTGGATGTGGTTTACCTGGATTTCAGCAAGGCCTTTGACAAAGTGCCCCATGATATCCTGGATGAGAAATAGAGGAGTTTTGAGATAGACCAATGCACTGTCCGATGGATTAGGGCATGGCTGACTGACCAAAAGCAGAGGGTAAATATTAGTGGGGAATCATTGGGATGGTGGCCAGTGACAAGTGGGGTCCCCCAAGGCTCTGTCCTGGGGCCGATCCTGTTTAATCTTTTCATCAACGACATGGAAGATGGAATTCTGAACGAATTCACAGGTGATACTAAAACTGGGACAGTGGCCACAACTGAGGAGCAGGTACTCCAGATCCAAAAGGATCTGGACAGACTATGGAAGTGGGCAGGAGACAACAGGACAGCATTCAATGTGGATAAGTGCAAGGTCTTGCACTTGGGGCATAGGAATGGGTGTCATAAGTACAGGTTAGGGGACAAGTGGCTGGAGAGCAGCACTTGTGAAAGGAACCTCAGGGTGTTGGTTGACTGCAGGGTAAACATGAGTCAGCAGTGTGATGCGGTGGTCAAGAGGGCAAAAGCCACCCTTGGTTGCATAGCCAGAAGTGTGGCTTCTAGATCGAGAGAGGTATTACTACTACTCTATATGACTCTGGTGCACCTGCAACTGGAGTACTGCATTCAGTTTTGGGTCCCTCATTACAGGAAGGATATAGCCAGGTTAGAGTCAGTGCAGTGTAGGGCCACAGTGTTGGTGGCCGGTTTGCAGGGGATGCTGTATGAGGCAAGACTGAGGGAACTGGGCCTTTTCAGCTTGGAGAAGAGGAGACTCCAAGGGGATCTGTTGGCGACATATAGGTACGTGACGGGGTGTCACATGGAGGTGGGTAGAGACCTGTTCTCCCCTGCAGAGGAGGGCAGAATGCATTCTAATGGAGCAAAGCTCAGGGAACCAAGGTTCAATTTAGATGCCAGGAAGTACTTCCTGACAGTTAGGACCCTGAGGGTATGGAATGGGCTTCCACAGGAGGTGGTTGATGCCCCTTCGGTGTTCAAGGTTAGGCTAGACATGCATATGGTGGGCATGTTGTGAGCGGAGCTGGCTGGAGCTGGGGGGTCAGACTAGATGGCCCAGGAGGACCCTTCTGACTCACTCTGTTTCTATGTTTTCTATGTTTCTAAATGCAGGGCCCTACAGGAAGGTTCCATTCTGAAAGGCAAAGTCGTTTCAAATCAGATAAATAGAAAAGGAGAGGGCTAAGCTACACTTAGTGCCAATTATGCGGTTTTCTGTATTAGCACAGAGCTTTTCAGAAATAACTGGGGCAGTGAGGTGGGGTGTGATCTGAAGCCTGGCATGGGGTGTTAGAGTGATTTAACTTAGTTCCTCATTGTGGTCCAGATTCCACTCCCTTCCTCTGTATGCTTGCTATTTGTAGTTTCTCTGTAAACTTATTCCCTTGCAAATAGCCACCCGTGGGTTGGAGATCCAGACTGGGACTGCAGTAAGGTGCCAAAGGTTAACGTTTCCTGCTCCCCACATGCCAAGGTCCTGATGGTGGTTATTTGTGAAAGAGAAATTCTTCACTCAAGGACAAACTATTTGATTAGCATTACATGTTGTTAGACTCTGGATGTTTATTGCTATATTTTATGTTTTTGAATTTTCTTTTAAAGGCAACATGCATTTTTCCATAACAATTTTATATTGTGTTGACACAGATTAATTTCTGGTGCCATTGAAATGATAGAAACCCATGTTGGAGATGCCGTTTTAGAGGTCTGTCATAAATTCTTTTGGGTTCTGGCGATCTTTAAAACGGAGACAACTGCATTTTAATCTTTGTCTTACATCCATTCCATAGCTATCAATAATTTGTAATGAGAATTTAGTTCAGGGAGTAGTTATGAGCCAGAGGATCAGATATTGGCAGTTATGCTGAGTTTTGGGAGAAATGAGTTCCAGTTTTCTGGGCCTGATGAACTGTATCTTACAGTAATAAAGAAACCGGCAAACTAAAGAATCAGCCAGCCTTGACTTGAATGTCACCAACAGGTATGATGTAGTAGATAAAGTGGCATTCATGGGAACCTTGCATGGAAGTCATCATGTCATACTTGAATTCTTGATTCTGAAGGAACCAAAAGCCAACTGTGGCCAAATGCATACCAAGGATTTTAGGAAAGCCAGTTTTAATAAGCTTAGGACAATGATATGTAAGGTTCCATGGCAAGCAACTAATGAGAAGAGGAGTCCAAGAAGGATGGGAATTCTTTAAAAAGGAAGTTTTAAAGGCACAATTACAAACAATTTCTACAAAGAAGAAGGCAGAAGATTAGCAGAGGAAGTAAATGTGGGTTCATCAAGAGCTTAAATATGACCTGAAAATAAGAAGGTCATGTACAGGAAGGAGAAGAAGGGGCAGGAACAAAGTACAAGTACAAAGAACAAAGAGTACAAGCAGGTAGCATGGAACCCCTAATTACTTTGAATAAGTTCAGATCTGCAGGGCCTGATGAACTGTATCCCAGAGGAATAATTGACAGAAGAACTGGCAGAATTACTGTCTATTGACTTTAACAAATGTGAGTGTTTCTTTTGTCATCCATATAGGCATTTTCTTTCTTGTTGCTACAGGAATTGTCTTTTGGCTTTCTTCCCTAACAGTGTCTCTGCTTTCAGTCCACAGTTCTGGCGCACAGTCAATTAAGTGGAGCAATGTGAATCTGTTCTTTATGTGGACTTTATGTTTCTGATCTCAGCAAAGCTTTTGATAAAGTACCCCATTATATTCTGATTAGCAAACTTGCTAAAAGTGGACTGGGTAGAACAACTACCACAGTTGACTAATGAATCTGGCTCAAACTGCACTTTCTACTGGCACATTCTCAAACTGGGAGAGGCAACAAGTGGGGTACCACAGAGATCAGTCCTGGGCCCAATGCTCTTTAGCATTTTTATTAATGATTTGGATGAGGATTCAAAGAATGATTATCATATCTGCAGATGACACCAAAGCAAGTGGGACAGCTAATACCATGGAAGGCAGCAGGAGAAAAATCAAAGTTATCTTGATAGGCTGGAGCACTGGGCTGCAAAAGATGAAATGAAATTCAGTAAGGACAATCGTAAACTTCTGCAACTAAGAAAAAGAAATCAAAATCCATAGTTACAAGATGGGGGATGCTTGGCTCATCAGTACTGCAAGCAAGAAGGATCTTGGACTTGCAGTAAATCACAACCTGACTATGAGTGAACAATGTGGTGTGGGTATAAAAAAGGCAAATGCTGTTTTGGACTGCATTAATAGAAGTATCAGTTCCAAATCAAATGAAGTGTTAGTTCTCTGCTCAGCAGTGACTAAGCCTCCTCCTGAGTTCTGTGTCCAGTTCTGGGCACCACAGTTTAAGAAAGATGCAGACAAGCTGAGAAGGGTTCGGAGGAGGGCAGCAAGGGTGATCCAGGGACTGGAAACAAAGCCCTGTGAGGAGAGACTGGAAGAAATGGGCATGTTTACCCTGGAGAAGAGAAGACTGCAGGGAGCTATGACAGCACTTTTCAATTGCTTAAGGCTGTCACACAGTGGAGGGTCATGACTACTTCTTGATCGTGCCAGAATGCAAGGCATGGTTTCATGGTCTCAAGTTACAGGCAGCCAAATTCTGGCTGGATAGCAGAAAAAACTTCCTATTGTTAGAGCAATGCAACAATGGAACCAATTAGCTAGAGAGGTCATGGGCTCTTTCACACTAAAGGCATCCAAGATGCAGCTATCCGTTAGGGATGCTTTAACTTAGAGTCCTGCATTCTGCTAGAGGCTGGGAATGATGGCCTTTCTGTTCTTTTCCAACTCTTTTATTCTATGATCCTCGGATAACTTTAAAAGAACATTGACTAGCAAATGTATTACTTGTGCTATTTTATCTTAAGTGTGATGTATAGCTAATTACCAGCTTTGTGCATTTGTTTAAATCATGTCCCTCTCCCCTGCCCCTGAGAAGAGTAGATGAGGACTAGCACTTTGCTCTGAGAACACTGGAGGCATTGTGAAAACAGTCTATAGCTTTGCACCTACAATTGCAAATGATCATGAGAGCATTAAATACGGAAGTGAAAGGCAAGGCTGGTTTACACATTACAACAAGCACACAGAAGATATGTGGAATCTGCATGATGCCATGTGGAAGGACTGGGGGGGGTCCCCAAGCACAGGAGGCGCCTTACCAACTTTGGAAGCAAATGAAATAATGCACCTTGCCAGCTAAAGAAGGCTCTCCTGTAAGACCATGAAGTCCAGAGTCTAAAATTACCAGACTATATCATTGCCAGATACAGCTTCTGTCTGGCAGCTGCCCCGTGCAGCAGCTGTAAGGGGTGGACACACTTGCTGGGCAAATGGTGATGGTGGTTATGAACTTATACCCAGCCTTTCAGCAGGACTACACAAAACAACTTCCATAAAAGCCATTCAGACAAAGCAAACTAATGTGAGAAAGCTGACAAGCTTTCTATCCATAAAGAGGGCCTAAATTCACTTCAAACAACATTTCAAATGAAAAACCTCAATTGTAATCAGGCTGACAGCAATGTGACAACAGCTTGAAAAGCAGCAGAATCTAGCTTCTGAAAAGGCCCACCTGAATAACTATTTCTTTGCTGTTGCTGTAAAAGCAGGTAGATAGCTGTATCTCTCTCATTGCCGCTACCAACAAAGGTCGTCTCCTGCACATCCTTCTGCTTCTGTTTAGACCATGGGGGTACCCAGTGGCTAGCCACTGGACAAGGATGGCCATGTCTCCTCTAATGGTGAACAGTCCTCTATTTGAAGAGCTTCTAGAGGTCTGTCCTCTATTTTGCAGTGTCCTCCATCTGAAAAGCTGTTCAACCCAAGCTAAAAGATAAAGAACCCTCAAGCTGGGCTTGAAGCTGACCTTCATCAGCATCTGGACAGCAGACTGAGCAAAGCACACAAGTCACCTGGTCACAGGTTTCCAGACTATGATGAGATGCACTGCATTTCTATTTAAATTATAATAACTGTTTCAAAATGTGCATCTGTCTATATACATTAGCACACAAAATTTATGCAAATCTGTGACCTCTTTTGTTCTCTTTTTTGGTAATTCAAAAGTTACCATCCTATTTTGCAGGAGAACAAAGAGTACATTGCCTTCATCACCCTTAGAGTTTCCACGCCATTACTACTCAATGAAAGAAAACATGTCTTGATAATATGGAAACATCACAGGATGTGAGCAATCCACATCGCAAGTTGCTTTATCCTATAATGTATTAAATGTATTATTATTTATAGATTTCTATACCACCCAGTAGCTGTCAGGGTGGCTAACAAGAGCTGTATGTTACCCTTTCCAATGAATGCCAAGAACATGTTACTGAGTATGAGGAGGAATGAGGAGGAAGGCCCAGCTGTGACTGCCAATGAGAGAGATTCAGCTGCACTTGCCGAACCCAGCTCAGACGTATGTGTACTGTCAGTTTACCCCAGACTGTTTCTTGGTTAACAGCTCCCTCAGACCTATCGGACTCTAATTATAAGTTTGAGGCAGGAAAAACTTAGTATTTATAGTATAAAGGGAGCTTGGGACATGCTCACATCTTTACATCAAAGAAGCTTCATGGTGCAAATGATTTGAATGTTTTGGCATAAGTATACTGAGGGAGATTAAGAGCAAGGTGTGGTTAATCACATCAAATAATCTCAGTAAGAGTGAATCAGTAGGAAGGTTCTTAATACTGACAAGGTTGTTCTCATAAAATTGAACTTAACAGGCTCCAGGAAATTCACACTGGGGAAAAGCCCAAGAAAATGTTCTGGCTGTTTTACGTTCTTTTGGAATGGGTCAAAAGTTATACACAGGTGTGTACACACAGGTGGGTGTCATACACATAGACACACTATCTCGCAGAGGTCGAAATACATTTTTAATAGCTAGAAATTTTATTTCCAATGAATTAATCATTGTGGAAGGGAAAGCATAATGAAAGGCAGGGGGTTGTAAATGAATGTATATTAGAGAGCTTGTATTAATGAAAATGAAATGCTAGGAAGTGAGAAAAAGTCACCTGCTACAAGGAACTGATCAATATGTATCTCAAAAACTACACTGAGAGCCAGTGTGGTGTAGTGGTTAAGAGTGCGGGACTGGGACTCAGACAATCTGGGTTCTAGTCCCGCTCAGCCATGGAGCCAACTGGGTGACTTGGGGCCAGTCACAGACTCTCAGCCCAACCTACCTCACAGGGTTGTTGTTGTGGGGATAAGATGGAGGAGGAGAATGATGTAAGCTGCTTTGAGCCCTTTGTAGGAAAAAGGCAGGATATAAATCGATAGATAGATAGATAGAGTATTGTCCCAGAGACTATCCCAAAGATTATGACAGACTTATATAAAAATATGTGGCAAGAGTGAGAATTGCCTCAAAGTGAAAGCAGAAGACTGCCTAGCTGTGGAAGACTGGAAAAACAAGCTGGCTCAGTATGCAACAACAGCGAAGCTAACTATGTTAACAGAAGACCAGTTAAAGAATTTACTCACAGATGGATGGTTTACTATGAACAATCTAAATAATGGTTAAAGAAAATATAATTCTTTCAAATGTTTGTGATTACTATTCGTTACCAAAAGCAATCTTATGGTCTATAACTGGTTGCATAGGCTGGATAAATATATGACTGAGATGTGAAGGGACCAGATGGAAAAGAGGTTGATAGAGACCTTTGTTACTTGTAAATGTGTTGAAATGAGGAGTTGCTTGCTAAATCTTTGGAACAACCATTGGTGTCTCTCCCCCCTCCCCCAGTTGTTTTATATCTGAAAAACAAATAAAAAGATCTGGGTGTGGGGAAAAAAAAACTGTATGTCACAGACACTGTATGAAGATGCCTTCCAGGAGGTTTTCACAACATTTAGCTGGGCTCTTTGCAGAAGGCAGCCTCCAAGGACTAATGTGCTGGGACAGCCACATCTCAACAGCAGCCTCTTATCATATGAACCTGCTTACACACTTAGCTCTCCAACAATGGCTCTGCTTTGAATCCTGCTGCTCTTTGAGGAGGCAATGTTACAACCAAGGTTATTGAACCTCTTCCTCTGGAAGTCCTGGTTAATAATTTTCCACTTGCTGAATTTAGGAGATAGGACAAAAACACTAGTGTTCAGATCTTTGTTTGACCTTTAATTTAATTGCAGCAGGTTGCTAGTAATGTTATAGTAATGGTTTGGTTAATGTGATTAATCAAAACTGTTAATATTGTTTTGGTTTTCTGTTCCTATTTTATGTTATGTTATTGGGTGTGCTAAAAATAGCTGCTAGTTGCCGTGAGGGTCCCTTTTGTGAACAGAAGGTGAAACCCAAATGCCACTGCTATGATGACGATGATGCATCCAAAGTTAGGCTGCGTAAGAACATAAGGATAGTCATGTTGGATCAGGTGAACTATCAACTGAGCCCAGCATCTACTTATCCCGGGGCCAATCAGCTGCCTATAGGATCCCATAAGCAGCATGCAAGGACAAGGGCATCCTCCTGCCCAAGGACCCCAGCAACCAGTGTACCTAAGCACACTGCCTCTGCTCTTCGAAGTAGTATACAGCCCCCAGGTCTACTAGCCACTGAAAGCCTCTTCCCCCATGAATATGTCAGCTACCCCTTTAAAGTCATTCCAAATAGGGCTATGTCACATCTTGTGGAAGCAAATTCCATAGTTTAGTTATGCTCTCTGTGAAGATGTACTTCCTTTAATTTTTCTTGAATCTCTCACCAGTCAGCATCACTAGGTGATCCTTGCTTCTAGCATTATGGGAAAAACAAAAAGATCTCCCCATCCACCTTCTCTGCACCACACACCGATCTGTATGCCTCTATGGTGCCTCTCCCTACCCATCTTTATTCTAAGCTAAACAAACTCAGGTGTTGAGACTTCTCTTCATAGGGAAGTTGCTCCAACTGCTTGATCATCTGAGTTACCCTTTTCGGAACTCTACAACATCCTTTATTAATAGGTGGCAACCAGAATGGGACACAATATTCTAAGTTTGGTCATACCATACCTTTGTATAGGGGGCAGTATGACATTGGAAGTTCTGTTTCCAATGCTGTACCTAACTATGCCCAGCACAGAGCTTGCCCTTCCACACCTGCTGTGCACTGAGTCAACTTTTTCATTGAACGTTCCACCACAAACCCAGATTTTCTCAAAGCAGATCAGTCATCTCAATTCTGGGTAGGCCTTAAATGCCCCCTGGCCTGAATGCTCTTAATCCCATGGCCTTTTGGATAAAGTGCTGTGCTATCTAGCTAATACCACTCCAGTTCCAGGAATGTGGTATCTGTAGTGCCCATGTGTCAGTGCTGTGCCTTTCAACAGCAAACCATCTGCCAGAGAGCCCAGACATCTCTCACATGACTCATATGTTTAGCAGAGGATTTGGGAGGAAGGGGACACACTCCGCTTCAATGTCGGCTTTAAGACTGCAGCCTAGAACACCCTGGAAAACAAATGTTTCCAAAACCATGTTTGCTGATTGACATAAACTCAAGGAGAAGGGAGAGAAACTTTCAGGAAGAGCTGATGAACGGGGGACTATAGTGAAACCTCCTAGCGCTTGCCTATTCTCCCAAAGAAATGCTCTCTCAGTTGTTGGTCCAGTCTCAAAACTGGAGGAAGATAATAAAGAAATAGTTGGGAGACCTTCAGAGAGGAGGGCTGGTGGTTCTTATAGAAAGGGCAGCCAGCATCTCTCCTGTTTGGTGAATTTCTCCCATGACTGGCACATTCTCTAGTTAGCATTCCTGGGAAAGAGAAATTTTGAGAGCTCTATGTTTGCTTTGTGCCTGCCTGCATTCAGCCCTCAGTTAACGGCATTTCATACAGCAGTTAGGCACTGCAACAGACACCCTAGCAGGGAAATGGTTTTACTTTCTGGTTTTGCCCTTTTGGGGGCAAAAAGTATAAAAATAATAATATTTGCATCTCACTTCACAAACTGTGGGGTGCATACATGTTCTTTCCTTGGTAGTGAATGTGGGAAAATTATAGCATGTGAAAAAGCCTTTACACAGATAGATTTGTATAATGGAGTTCCTGGGGAAACTGGAGGAAGTGAACAAACTATTTTTCTTGCCTTGAGACTATGTGGGTGCCCCCTCCTTATTGCCTCAGGGGTCAAATCAGCAGGGCCTGTTTTATTTATTGATTTATTGTATATATATCCCACCTTTTTTCCCTTTCAAGAAACTCCCTTCCTCCTCTCAATCTTATAATCACAACAACAACCCTGTGAGGTACGCTGGTCTGAGAGCCTGTGCCCGGCCCAAAGTCACTTAGTTGGCTCCACGGCCAAGTGGGGACTAGAACCCAGGTCTTTTGAGTCCGTCCCACACTTTTAGCCACTGCACCATACTGGGAATCCATCACCTTTCATCTTCCTTCTAACAAATGGTGGTTATGTGTCTGAGAATTCCTAACCCTGGAAGAGGGATAGGGATGAAGGGTAATTGGTGTATTTTCTGAAAGTCCTCCTTGAAATAGGAGCCCCCACATTTCCGGATCCCACTCCTTGGCGCTTACCACTTCACAGCAGCCCCTTCTTCAGTCACTTCAGCTACAAACTCCACTCTTTCACCAACTGTTACCACCTGGTCTTCCAGAGAATGAGTAATCAGAATGGGAGGCTCTAGAAAAGAGCAGGACACATGAATTTGGAGGACTGAATACAGAAGTGAAACTATGCCAACATTCATTCAATTTTTCTGACCAACTTTTTGTTGCAGCAAGTTATTTTTCCCTTTTTGGAAACCAAGGACAACAGATCCTTGCACTCCCAGAGTGCTTGCCAATGGGCATTTCAGAAAAATATCCAGGGCTAAACTGCCAAATTACATAATGGATTCTACATATTGGAAACTATAAAACTAGGGGAGTGCCCAGTTAGTTTTTCCTCCTCCTTTGCAGTAAATCAGAAATTTGGCACAGTTTATGAGGTCTTCGTAATATAAGAGATTCTAAGTTTTGTTTTTCTAAAAGCTAGATCTGGAAAATTCTGTCCTAAACCTTGGTAAGGTCTCAGAGCAGCAGAAGGGAAGGGTGGTGGGAAGAAGGAAGTGGCTGACTTCAAATTAAGAGGGAAGGAGTGGAAGAGGAAGAGGGACAGGGATGAAGGGTGCAGTTGAATATTCCCTGACCTTGATACACGTAACCTGCAACCTTGTAGCTGGAGCTCTGAATATTCCTCTTCCCCTATCCCCAAAGTCATGAGGTCATAGGATTGCCTAAAACCTTTCTTAAATTTGGTGAGATGACTAATAAGGCCTTTCCTCCTCTTGCCACTAAGCTTCTCAGAAAACAGGTCATGTCTCTGCCCTCATATTGCTAAATTCAGGGTAGGATGCAGAGCTGGTCTCAGCACCTGTCATTCTGGGGCAGCTGCCACCCACCCCATGTTCTGCACCAAGCCTTTCTTGGGTCAATGCCAAGTGGCTGAGTCTCACTGCCATTTTAATTTCCCACAACACCCTAAAGTGACACACTTGATCAGAGACGTGAAGGGGCTACAAGTGGCAGCTACATGCAGGAGTTCAGTGCTGATCAGGACTGTTTCCTGCCACAGCCTACTCAAATCTCACTGCTTTTGCTCCAGGGCAGAGATTCAGGAGCAGCTGCAAGTTCAGCCCTCCCTCCGTAGGCATCATGCATACTGAGTAGGCCTAAGTCTGTCCCAACTCCTCTCAGACTAAGCTAGAAACAGTTTACTCTTTTGTACTGGTCTATTTCCAGCTTTCCTGCTCAAGCTACATATTGGAAACTACCCTTAATATTTTGTAAGTCTCAGAGCCAAACATTATAAAACAAAGCATTATAAAACAAAATATGCCAAAAGCAATATAAGATCTACAAATAATATATTTCATTTTAGTACATCCTCTGGTTTTAGTACAGTCTGTAAGACTGTGTATTTTTTAAAATGTTGATGTAATAAATTTGTGTTTCATTCTTATGCCAAAAATACTCAGAGTAGCATCATGCAGCCTAAACTTTCATATGTTTATTTGGAAGTAAGTTCTATTGAATTCAACCAGTCTTACTCCCAAGTGTACAAAGGACTGTGGACTTAAGCTCACAACAGTTTCTTAGGCAGAAAGATGGTAAATGTGAACATCTTACCCAGTGAGGTTTATAACAGAAAAGTGATTTCTATAGATCTGATCCAAACTGGAACAGGGAAGAGGTTTTTTGAGCATCCTGCAAAAACTTCCCTATGTTCATGGAGGTGCTCCAAAGAGATGCAAATGTGCATGGGTGAGAAAGAACATGCCATGTGGCCTCAGCATCCTGGTCAATGCACCCTCTTTTCCCACACTTGATGGCAATGAAACCACTGAACTGATGATGCATCATGGCAAGACAAGGAACTTTGGCCAAGTTGTATACTCAGAGGTCCATCAGACATAGGGAGCCCCTTACTCCATACATTCCTACCAGTCATATAACATCATCAATGGAGACCCCCTACAAGTTTCTCTCCCTAAGGAGATTCAGGGGAGGTTGCAAGGAGGAGGGGCTTTTCTGTGGCGGCACCCCAATTGTGGAATGCCCTGCCTTTGGAGATTTTGTCAAGCCCCTAGTTTACTGAGTTTTAGGTGCCTGGCAAAAACTTTATTTTTTTGACTTACCTATGGCACTACATCTATATTGACAGCACTATTTTTAATTTACTGTATTAATTTTATTAATTTATGTTTTTGTATGATTATATATATGCTGTGTCTTGTTTATTTATTATAATATTTAACTGTATGATTTTATTTAATGTTATTGACATTTTTATTGCAATGGCTGCCAAAGAAGCATGATGCTAATGAGTGGCTTTTAGAGAAATTTAATAAATAGCCACAATAATAAATGTGGTTATTGTACATATTGACCTCAACACATTTGGGCATGACTAGAGCTGGACTGAGGCTTCAGGGTGAGGAGAATGCTGCTTTGTTTGTCTGCAGCTGATATAAGCACCTAATTTTATCTAATTGGCTCAATGGCTCCATGCCATCATCACTTTCTCTGTGTGATGCTTGATTGGCTGGGCTATGCAGGAATGGAGAAAGAAGATGCTCGGATGCAGTTATAAGAGTGCAACAGCAACAGACTGGGGAGTCTCAGACAGCACACACCAAAAACAGGTAGAGCTTTCATTCTTCAGGGGCCTTTTCACATCCCTCAACAACAGGGGTGCTTTGCCTTGAAAATGTTTTGCATGGAAAAAGTTCAAAATCAGGGATCTGGCACAGATTTCTGAACCTTTCCCACATCCCAATCTAACAACAGTACATTATGCTTACCTCTTACAAACAGTTCTGTAAAACTCTTCTCTTCACCAACCACACATTGATACGTTGCATCGTCTGCCAGTGAGCAGTGGTTGATGGTCAGAATCCTTTTATTTCCAAGGGCCTCAAAAATGTATCTGGGGAATTGAAAATAGAATCCAAAGCTATCAAGACAGAAAAGGTAACTATATGTTGTTGTTATTATTATTTTCATTTCTATACTGCCCAATAGCCAAAGTTCTCTAGGTAGTTAATCATCCTATCATGAGTCACAGCAGAAAATAAGAGAGTTTTTGATTCACTTCTCCCATACTCTTCTGCATGCCAGGGAAAGGTGTACCATGCCCTTTCTCTAGCCTTCATCACATACAAGGTTGCCAGGAAAACTAATTTCTTGGAAAGCAAATTTAAAAAAAGCATTATTAGCCAAATAGTATTTCTGCAGATGCACAGAACATGGTTCTCCTTATAAATTTCATAATAAAACAGAGGCATTCATCCATGCACATATTGCTTTAGGAGACAAAGGGTTTATTTATTTATTTATTGCATTTTCATGCTGTCCCATAGCTAAAGTTGACTGAGTGTTTTACACTGTCCATAAAAAGAGATGATAAAGATAGAACAAAAATTTCATACAATCAGAAAAATAAAAAGTTTTAAATAGCTAAAAACAGATAATAAAAATAGATAATAAGGAATAACAAAAAGAAAGCCTGCAAAATTTCTGGTTCCCTGAGGGATTATGCATTTGACCAGAAGAAGTAATGAATGAAGCCAGAACATCCCAAAAACTATTCTGCCTTCTACATCTTAATCAGGACAAAATATCTATGAAGCACTGAACCAAATCAATAGAAATGGTAAAATAATGAGTTCATTATATGTTAACTTTGCAAACTTTTGTGAAAAAGGAAAGTTAGCTAAATCATAAACATGAAGATATGGCATGAGAACTTACTTGCTAAGGGGCAGGCCATTGATATGAGTCCATTCCAGAAGCATAGGTTGAATAAAAAGAGGAGAAAAATCAGTCATGAAAATTTTTATATTCATTACCAGTCTTACATAGTTCCCCCCATTACATCATCCATATATATGCTTTGTCCTTCTTTCCCCTTTCCCTCCAGATGATGTGCTCATTTTTTATTTTTTATTTTTTGTCTCTCACTCCCGATGAGGACTAGAATTTCCACATTCCAGACTATAATATTTAACCACTTCCATTATTACGTTCTAGAATGGAATGGAATGGAAGAGTTGAAAGGAGCCAGGGGGCCACTGGGTCCAACCCCCTGCTTGGTGCAGGACTCAAATCCCTCTTAGGTGGCTGTTCAGTTGCATCTTCAATGCCTCTAGTGTGGGAGAGCCCACAACTGCCCTAGGTCATTGGTTCTACTGTTGTACTGCTCTAACAGTCAGGAAATGTTTTCTGATATCGAGTTGCAATTCGGCTTCCTGCAACTTGAGCCCATTATTCCGTGCCCTGTACTCTGGAATGATTGAGAAGAAATCCTGTCTTTCTTCTTTCTGACAGTCTTTCAAGTACTTGTAGAGTATTATATCTCTCCTCAGTCTTCTCAAGGCTAAACATGCCCAGTTCTTTCAATCTCTCCTCACAGGGCTTTGTTTCCAGTCCCTGAATTATCCTTGTTGCCCTCTTCTGAACCCTTTCCAGCTTGTCTGCATCTTTCTTAAACTGTGGTGCCCAGAAGTGGACACAATACTTCAGATAAGGCCTAACCAGTGCTGAGTGAAGGGGATTTGAAAGTGATACTTCTATTAATATAACCTAAAATAGCATTTGCCTCTTTTACAGCCGCATCACATTGTTGACTCATATTCAGTTTGTGATCTTGTAATGATGCATTTGGTTTCTTTTTTCCTAGGTGCAGAATGTGGCATTTATCCCTAGTAGATTTCATTCTGTTGTTTTCAACAGTGCTCCAACCTATCAAGATGACCTTGAATATTCTTTCTGTCTTCCAGGGTGTTAGCAATCCCACCCACTTTTGTTTCATCTGCAAATTTGATAACCATTTCCTGCACTTCCTCATCCAAATCATTAATCAAAATGTTGAAGAAAGCTGGATCCAGGACAGAACCATGAAGTACCCAACTTGTTACCTCTCCACAGTTTGAGAAGGTAGCCTTGATGAGCACTTTTTGAGTCTGATTTTGTAGCCAACTGTGGATCCAGACGATAGTTATTCTATGTAGCCCACTTAACTAGTTTGCAGATCAGGATATCATGGGGCACTTTCTCAAAAGCTTTGCTAAAGTCAAAACAGATTATGCCCATAGCATTCCCACAGTCCATCAAGCAGGTTACCTAATCAAAACATGAAATAAGAATAGTCTAGCAGGACTGCAAGGTGATCAAACCAGTCAGTCCTAGAGAAGATCAACCCTGACTGCTCTTTAGAAGGCCAGATAGTGAAGATGAAACTCAAATACTTTGGCCACCTAATGAGAAGGAAGGATTCACTGGAGGAGAGCCTAATGCTGGGAACAATAGATGGCAAAAGAAGAAGGGGATGGCAGAGGATGAGGTGGCTAGATGGAGTCACTGAAGCAGTCGGCGTGAGCTTAAGTGGACTCCGGAGGATGGTGGAGGACAGAAAGGCTTGGAGGAATGTTGTCCATGGGGTCACAATGGGTCGGACACAACTTCGCGACTAACAACAACAACAAAGCAGGAATTTTCCTTGAGAAATCCATGTTGGCTTCTAGTATCATTGCATTCTTTTCAAGGTGTTTGCAGACTGACTGTTTTAATCTACGCCAAAGATCGATGTGCAACTGACTGGTCTGTAGTTCTCAGGTTCTTCTTTTTTCCTTTCTTGAAGATGAGCACAACATGAGCCCTTTCCAGTCATCTGGTACTTTCCCAGTCCTCCATGATTTCTCAAAGACAGTAGAGAGTGGTTTTGAGAGTTCTTCTGCCATCTCCTTTATGATGCTAGGATGGACTTCATCAGGCCCTGGAGATTTGAACTCATTTAACCCAATTAGATGATCCTTGACAACTTGCCTATCAATATTGAGCTCCCATCCTGCTCCTTCAGCTTGTACTTCCCCTTCATCAGGAAGGTCATGGATCTTCTTTTGGGAGAGGACTGAGCCAAAGTAAGAATTGAGCCCTTTGTCATCTGTTATCATTTGCCACCTGCCTTGGTTAATTGAACACCTATTTCTTTCCTCTGTCTTTTACTTTGGACATATCTGAAGAAGGCTTTTTTGTTGCACTAACACCCTTTGCTAGCCTCAGTTCATTCAGCTTTAGCCTTCCTGATGGAATTCCCTGCAACTGCATGCTACCTGCTTCTATTCTTCCTTTGTAACCTGGGCTTCCTTCCATTTCCTTTTTGTTTTCAGAGCCTCTGTAAGTGTTTTTGTGAAGTCACATGAACTTCTTCTGTTTTCTTCTACCCTTTCCCCTGTTGGAATTGTTTGTAATTCTGCCTTTGGAATTTCCTTTAAAAAAATTCCCATCCAACTTGGACTTTTGCCATAGAACTTTGCTTATCATTGTTCTGAGTTTATTAAAAGTGATTTTCCTAAAATGCAGGGTACATGTTTGGCTACATTTCGCTTTTTTGTTCTTTAGAATCTTTAGAATCAAGGATTCAAGTATGCCATAGTCACTTTCCCCCAGAGTCCCTGTAGCTGCCACCTTGTCTTCTCTGTTGGTTAGTATCAAGTATCTCAATTACCTGCCGCTCACTTGGATTTCTTGTCCATTCTTTAGCCATTTCACTTCATCATCTGGTTTAGCAAGTTCCACCATTAACTTGATCTTCTGTCCTTTGTCAATCTGGTAAGCAGGTTCGAGTCTCTTGAGAAAGGCTGGAGAGAAAAGGGTTTGCAAAGCCAAGAGTAATTTTCTCCAAATATTAGTAGTTTAGTAATGTACTTGCAAGTAGGAAGAAGTCTTCCTATATCTAAGGGCTTATCTACAAACTTTTTAATTAAAGCATTTCTAAATTGTTCTTCATTCAGTGGATTCCAGGGTGGTGTATAAGAGGCAGCAAAAGGACAGTAGGTGAAATCTAGTGGCACATGAGCAGACATGTGTTGATATGGTGGATTTTCCCTCTTCCCTTTCTCCCTTCAATTTCCCATTCTTGCCCAAATCTGCTCCTGATCTCTCCTAGACCAGAGGCAGGTGGGGAAAGAGGCTGGGGCAGCACAGCTGCTCCAGTTACAGTCAGCAGCCCAGCCCCTTTCCTCCTGCTTGCTGGCTCTAAATCTAGAAGGCTGGAAATGGCTGTCCAGATAAAATCCAGAGTGCAAGGCCCAGTGGTGTTGGAAAGGGCCACCACTGGGCCTAACGTCTCACACTGGATGCTTGTAAACCTCCAGTTTACAAGATTTGTGAACATCTGCCACAGTGGTAATAGGAATGCACCCTAAGCAAGGTTAAGTCTTAAGTCTGTTTCAACCGAATCCTGGTAAATCCGAATTCTTCAATTTCTCCACCTTTTTAGTTCAAGCAGCATTGCAGAGTTTTCTTAGCTCCCACTTGTACCTCTACAGCTTTCCTTTCACCTGCTGTTCTTCTCATTTTTCTGACCCAGTCCTAATTCTCTAAAGCCGCTGGTTCTTTTCTTTGTAGTAAGTCAGGATTAGGGAAGTAACACAAACATTTGAAAGCACTTTTCACAAGGTTTTTCTTTTCTTTAGAAAAGTTTGAGGACCATGCTATGCATATTTTTCCTAAAAGCAGACACCTTTTGTGCAGTGGGGAGAATCCCACCCCCGCACTCCAGTTCTCTTACATGTGCTTTTCTTTTCCTCCTTCTTCATGCGCTTAAGACGTTTCAACATCCCTCGCAGATCAGTGATGCCATACTGGAAAGCAATCTTCTCATACTCTGATGGAGGAGCATTCCGAAGAATTTCCCAGACATCAATTTCTGGCTGTGATTCCGTTTTTGCTTCATTTCTGACAGATGGGGCAATCATTATATTATACCATATTAGGATTCAAATAGCCTGGCCATCAGCATGTGTCTCTAGGACTGAATTCCCCTATATATTAAAATGTCAGTCTGTATGATTGTCTCATTCTTGGTGGGATGCAAAAGGCATACATTCACATCACATATAACACTAAGGCCACATTTGCCTACAATGATAAGCTTATCCTGACTTTTTTGAGCGAGAAGCATGCTGTCATGTACAGCTTGTTCACTACCACTTTCCTCCTTTTTATGAAAGCAGGTAAATAAACCAGAACTGGATAGCTTATGTGACATTCAAACCCAGTAGACTAGCTTGTTTCTCCTCAAAAACCAGGATTGCAAGTCATCTATTTTTGATCTTGGTTATGTTGTCTTACAAATCCTGGTTTGTTTGAGAGGAACAAACTAGGATACTGGATTTGGATATAACAATAAGCTATCAATTACTACTGGTTCAGATGGGAAGATAAAAGTGAAGTGAATGGTTTGTGAGCATCAGCATGCTAAATGATTAAACCAGAATAAGGCAAGCCAGGAATCCTGGTCTATTACCATGGGGACAGAATGTCTTGATAAATGTTGGACAAGAATAATACATCAGAACCAACAACTGGATATTTGAGATTCCCAGGTAAGTTATTTGGCAACAATATCAGCCTTCTCTACCTAGCAATAGAGGACATGAAACAGGTGTAAAAGAGGACATGTTACTAGTTTTTAGGATTCATGCATCTGGGTCTCCATGTGGAAACCTTGATCATCTCAAAACCCTTAACTGTATATAGAATCTGTGTTCCATTTGTTTCTCTTGCTTGTGAATAGTAAGCAGCAATTTCTCTTAAAATGATATATAGGGAATTATGAACTAACTAGCGATTTTTGAATGTTTGGACTTGCAAATGCTAGCTGTAAAGATAGAATTAACTTTGGACCTCTGACCTTGTAAATCCCACAAGATGGTTTTCTGATTTATAGTTTAGGTCATCTAAGCATGTGAATCTCTTTACATTCTTTGCAAACATATTAATACAATCAACAAAAAGTTTGGTAATACCTAAAGACTAGCACATTTATTATGGCATAAGCTTTCCATAAAGTCCACTTCATCAGATGCATGATTTTAGCTCATAGAAGCATACACTTAAATACAATTGTTAGTCTTCAAGGTGCTACAACACGCCTTGTATTTGTTATGACAACTGAAATGGCTTCCCCTCTTGACTGATATTTAGCCTAGGAGATGGAGTGCAACGCTTACCGATTGACCGAGCGCAAGAAACTGCTGGACTTGAGAACGATGCAGAGAAGCATTTGGAAGAGCATGCAGCAGCATCACCATGAGCAAGAAAGAGGGCAACATGTGTTAGTATTAGCAGCCATCATTAAAGCAGGCCCGCCCTTCCTTGGAATGGAGGCTAAAGATTTACTACACTGAAATATGCTGCCAGAAAAGCCACTGCTCACAAACAACAATCCAGTTCTACTCATCTTATACCCTGTAATTTATTGCAACTTAAATGGGCCATCTCTGTACTGCTGTCATTTTGTTGGAAACTGGTTTAACGAATGGTAGAAGCTTACTCGATTGCCCTTCCTAAAGCTGAACATCTTTCTAGTATGCCATTCCCTCTGTGCTAATAAAAAGTACACCTGCTGTTTTGCTTGTCCTGCTTGCATGGAGGGAATCCACTTCCTGTTGATCATATCACCCTAATCAGAATAGCAGGAGAAATTGATGTATACTTCTAGGAAGGCATTCTTCTTCTTATTATAATTATTTTACTGCAGAGAACATGCCACAATATGTTTTGGGGAAAAACACACTTTTTCACTTGTGTATTTGCATTAGTCCACTGTTTCACAGTGCCACCTAGAGGTGCTGTTGAAAAGCAGGAAACAAAATATTTCTTTTTGGTAATGCTTGGATCTCAATTCTGGTGCAAAACTGGATGTAAACACAGCACATAAACAGCCTCAGGTAGAAAAACCTGAAGTTGGCTAATGTAACTTAGACTGCTTTGCCACAAGTAAAGAGAATAGAATGGACAGTTGTCTAAATGCTAATAGAACAAGTAATAAGCAACTGTAACCCTGACTTTAGCATTCTATTGAAACTTCCTTTGCTTTCTGGGCTACTATTCTCATAATCTCCATTTATGGGCATGTTAGCATTGAAGCCCATCAGCATCTGGAGGACTACCTCTTCCTCATCCCTGAGCCAGAGTTCACCTGGCTTGTAGAAATACATTATTAATATTTGTTACTTATTTTATTTATGTGCCACCCCATAACCAAAGTTCTCCGGATGGTGTAGAATAAATATCTGTTGCACTTTAGATCTGTTTGCAAGCAGATCTGACCTTTGGTACCTGTCATGATTGTCTTTATTACTGTTGCTGAAGTCATGGGACTGGGGAACCAGGCATGCTCTGCACCTGCCTGTTCAGCCATGTTGTTGGCAAGCCATTCCTGCATATTGTATAATGTCTTCCCTCTTTGGCTCTCACAAATCATCAGTGTACAGCTTTCCTAGGGTGAGGGATCAATGCTGTTGAAATAGCACTACAGGTTCTCCATGAACCAGAGAGCATTAAAACACCAGCCTGGGACTTCTGATAACTTCTGGATACAGTGGATTACAACCTCCATCCTCCTAAGCCAGCATAATCTGTCTGGGGATGATGGGAGCTACAGACCCACACATCTGGAGGACACCAGGTTGGGAAAGGCTGCATTGCGGTATTTCAGACTGAACCCACTGCACACAAAGCGAGCTGCTGATGTGTGCTAAACGTGCAGAAGAGTTAAAAATAGTTGCATACATCCCAGAGATGGCCCTGCCCTATCCTGTTACCTTGGATGGATTCAAACCTGTCAGCTGTCACCTCCTTCAAGGTCTTCCCTCGCCATCCCATGCAAGAGCAGAGTGACAACTGCTCCCTTCCTCCTGACCTCTCCTTGGCCTGTGGCACCTGCATGCCAATGTCATCTCTTTAGATAACCCTACCAAAAGATGTGACAACCACAGGATCGGTTCTGCTGCTTTGGGAAAGGCTTTTCCTTGAGTTTCATCTGTCCTCAAGCATTTCTAAAAGAGAACATTTGGATCACTTCTTACATAACTCCAGGAAAGACTGGTAGTGCTCACTGTAAGTATTCAAATGAAAACCTTCATTTTCTGAGCCAAGTATTCACATGAAAAACAAACTCATTAAACGCAGCAGCTAGCTAACTAAAACTGAAATATAAAGCCCAGTTAACTGGAAATGAATCTAGCTGAACTTTGTGGGGTTTAGTTCTAAGGGTCAAAGTAAACAAACTAGTAATGGCATTTTTTAAAAAAATAGCAGACAGGGGGTACCCAGTCCACATATGACTTTCATTATTTGCTCCCATGCTTACGATTTTCATTGAAAGAAAAGCTTCCATGGGTGCACATGGGTACTTTCCTTCCAATGCGAATAGAAAGCAAATAGCAAGCAGGGTCTCTCAATTTGGGTTACCACTGCAGCAGAAGGCAACATGTTAAAAGGCCCTGTAATCCTGCCAGGGACTCAGTCTGGGTTGGGCATCCTGTCTTTGTAATTTGCTTAAAGGAGATAAATGTAACTGTGTGAATTATGCTGTGTGGCCTCCAGTTTGTCCTGGGCAAACACATGTAGAATTAAGCTGAACATCCATTATGACATGGGTTGTTTGGGAAACTAAATGAATGGCTCAGTGACAACAGACTTAAATATTCTGTAGATTCCCCTCTCCTCAGAATTTGAAATATTAATCTCCCTGTTTGTGTGGCACAAGCCTGAAGGCACCATGAAGCAAACTGAACTCAGGATATACAGTCACAGAGCAATTTTACATGATGCCTTGAGGAGACTGGAAGGCAAATGAACCGCTGTACCCAAGCTCTGCCAGGCTCATGCTGGCAGGAGAGAAGGGAGGAAAAAGCAGTGTTTTTTCTTCTGAGCTGGCATAAACTTGAGAGTATCTCTGGTGGCCAGTGGAGCTGTGGATTCTGTGGGCATACAGCTTCTCCCAGTCTGCTGCCTTGCTTCTACCTCTAAAGTCCCCAAACCAGGGAAGAATCAGCTAATGAGGTTTCTCCAGCAAGTGAGTGGGTGAAGTTCAAGTTCAAATATTCCTGTCTGAAGGCTGACTTCTTTCTCCCTCTCTTTGCAATGGGAGAGACTCAACACACCCTATGACACAGGGGACATCCTCCTAGGGTCCATAGGATTGTAGCTTTAATTTCTGTTCTGAACAGAGTCAACCATAGGAAATACAATATTTCTTTTCTTTAAATCCCCATAGTCAGTCAGTTCTGGAGTTTTCCAATTCCTAGTTATTAATTTATTTAAAAATAAAGAGGTGCTATGTCTCCAACACGCCTGGAAGCCATGCCCCAGCCTTGAACGACTTGCCCCCTATTTCATGATGCATGGTAGCTGTCTGAGGTAACTCAGTGGCAAGAAACAAGCAATCTTCTGTACATCTTTAGAGATACTTTCATTGCCAGTCATGCTTTGGGGTACAGAAGGAAAACAAAACAATCCTAGATTAATAAGAGAGGTCCTATTAGGAGGTGTGGGCTGCGGAACCATCAGTACGCTGTTGATACCCAGCTCTACCTCTCATTTTCAACTAATCCAGGTGAGGCAGTGGCTGTACTGAACTGGTGCCTGGTCAAGGTAATGGGCTGGATGAGGGCCAATAAACTGAAGCTCAATCCAGACAAGACGGAGGTCCTGTTGGTAGGTGGGTCACGCTTCGGTGTGGGGAACATGGACCTTGTCCTGAATGGGGTTGCACTCCCCATTACAGGGACAGGGTTCGCAGCTTGGGAGTGCTCCTCGACCCAGAGCTGTCATTAGAAGCTCAGGTGACGGCGGTGGAGAGGAGCGCTTTCCTTCAGCTTCGGCAGATCCATCAGCTGCGTCCCTACCTGGAGAACGATTGCCTGGTGACAGTGACACATGTACTGGTAACTTCCCGATTAGACTTCTGTAACGCGCTCTACATGGGGCTGCCCTTGAAGACAGTCTGGATACTTCAGTTGGTGCAAAACAGAGCTGCCAGGTTGCTGACGGGGACTGGGCGTTGTTCTCATATAACCCCAGTCCTCCGTCAGTTTCACTGGCTTCCCATTAAAGTCCCGGCCCAATTCAAGGTGTTGGTTATCACCTATAAAGCCCTCAACGGCTTGGGACCTGGTCATCTAAAGGAGCGCTTGCATCCATATATGCCCTTCTGCCCCCTGAGATCGGTGGCAGAGGCCCTTCTCCAGGAACCTTCCCTGAAGGATATTAGGAGGGTGAGTACCTGGAGGAGGGCCTTCTCTGCGGTGGCACCCCACCTATGGAATGCGCTCCTCAAAGAGGTCCGCCTGGTGCCATCGTTATTTGTTTTTCGGCGCCAGGCCAAGACCTTTTTATTTAAGTTATTTTAATTGTTAATTGATTATTTATTGGGTTTTATATTGGGTTTTATCCTGTGCCGAAATGTCTCCAAAATTTTTAAGGTTGATTGTGTAATGATTCTGTTTTGTAAGCCACCCTGAGGCTTTTTGCGAATGGGGCGGCATAGAAATGTTTTAAATAAATAAGTTAATTAATGAACAGTAGTTTTGCAAATTGATCTCAGGGTTCCAAACTAGTGATTCTAACATTCAGGTTAAAAACATGGTTTGGATTCAGACAACACAAGAACCCACATTTGAGAGTTGAATGTGGGTTATCATCAGAAATGTTGGTTGGTGTTGGAATGTGAGTTATTGTGTGGTCTGAATCTCGCTGTGATAACAAACCATGGGTTGTTCACCATGGGCAACCTACAGTTCACTATCTAACAATAAACCATGGTGAACAAAGCATGGCTTGTTCTGGCATCATGAGAAGCATCATATATTTTTAAAAGACCCTTGGTCCATTGGCTTATGCTGTGTGACCCCACTTCATATAACTAAACCTACTTGAATGAATGTGCAACCAGTGCACAACTGGAGCTGCCTGGAATCACACCACTAAAAGAAGCCACTAGGTAACTTCTAAGTTATTTTAAATCATTTTATTGCATAAGGGCTATTTCAATGTAAGGGTCTTTGCATCAAGCATAGACATGATCAGCAAAGACTAGCCATCTAAATTCTGTGGATGTACTGACTAGAGAAATTGGGCTGCCTTGGTTATTTGAGGCTCTTAAGAAATGTATGCGTAATTGAACATGCAGAAGTACAAGTCTAATATATATACGAGATTACATCTGATGTTCAGGTGGAAATTCTGGATAACCAAGTTTGGATAACAGTGTTTCTATAGTATGAAAAATTAAAGACCCTTCTGCTAATTTTAAAACTTCATCATTTAGGAAAGCAAATGAATGGAACTCTGTCCTCATAAACTGTAGTACTTTAAAATAACATGTGAGGTAGAAAACCCATGATGCTCCATCCAAGTGCTTAAGAAAAGGGATGATTATGCATTGCACAGTTCCTACAGCCTTGATACTTCTGTTCCATGCACAAATAAAAATAAATTCTTACTCTCTGTTCCAGGCATCAGTATTCCAGGAAGGATTTCCGTATGGAGATGAGAAAGCACAGCAAAGTGCAGGTGAACAAAACAGAAACCAGAAAAAGGGAGAAATGGAAGAAGAGGCAAAGGAAAGGGAGAAATACAAGATGTCAAATAATGAATAATAATTGTTTGTGGTAAACAGACAACCTTCCTTGAGAGTTGGTGCAGATTACAGCTTACTAGTGTGAGCAAACTAGAGTGAGAAAGTCCTTGGCTCCCCCCCACCCCCCGTGACTACAAATTCACTAGATAGCAAGATGTGCACTAGAATGGGTCATAGTGCCACAGTCAGGGATGGGCATGACACCACCGTGTGACCGCACTGTTGGGTTTCATTCACTTCTACTGCCTTTCGCACATCTTTCTGGAACGGAACACTTAGGCAGATGTTCTGCTTGTGTTTTCTTCCTCTCATTCACATTAATTATTTTACCCATTCATGAATTCCACCTCTCAGTTTCCATAGTTATACCTCCCTCTTTTCCCACACCAGTTTCAGTTGTCTACTGCTTCTGACCACTTGCATTCATCTATCCAGCTGTAAACCACAAAGTATGAAAGGGCCCTTCTATAGAACCATACACTGAAACTGAGAAACATAACTGGGCAACAAGAGAAATCTTGTGTATTTGTTTGAAGTGTTTTTTAAAAATTGATTTCCCTTGTGTGTGTGTGTGTGTCCTGTCTTTATGTAATACTTCCTGTGGTCAGCTATCAGTGGTACTTAGAAGACCCGCACCTGCTTAGCTTCAATGATGCTGCTACACCATATAGGCATAACCCAAGTGAAATGTTACTTAAAAAAAACATGCTGAAATGCTTTCAGGATCCCCTAGGTAACCCCTAAGGATCCATAACTTCTGTTCTGACTAGTTCTGTTTTATTTCTTAAATAAAAATGTACATTTTGGGTTCTAATGAAGTGTCACTGGAACCCAAAATCTGATACTCACTTTGAGTGATTAGGGGCACATTTTCATGAACCACTGGAAACAGTTTCTAATTTTGCTGAAATTAAGGGTGCTTCCAAATGAGGCTTTTATCATGACATCATGTTGCCTGGTTCACAGGAATGTATATGGGGAGGGAACAGACAGCATTATTTTCTACTCATAAGCCCTTTTTTCTTTTTTATTACCCCAATAAATCCATTAAGGAAGAAAAGATGGAATGGCTGCACAATAGCTTCCCATGTGTCCAGAGGAAAGGATGCCCCTGCAGTTCTCTGCAACCCATGTGAAAGCACCACTATAAGGAATCTACAACTCTGGGATAACATTTCCCTGCAGCCCTCTAGAATGCAGCCTAGAGTTGGGAGGATGCATGTGTTGATGGTCACAGATCAAAGGAGCTGCCATAACTGACACCCAGTACATGCTCATGAGGACGCAGATTGGGAATGGTTGCAGAGGAGACCCAATCCAACTCATCTCCAGCCTTTTCTTTCATCATTTTGTATGCTTACCTCTTTTTCAACAAGGCACTGAAATCCAGCTCTTTGCCTTCTTCATGTCCATCCACACTGTGCAGTAAAGCAAGTAACATTGATAGTGAACAGTACAGAAACAGAGGGCAGTAACAAAAAAGGAAAGAAAGCTTCACAAAATGGTCAGGATGCTGTGGATGAGAGGCCAAAGACATTTCACACGTAGTTTGTGAAGCTTTCCAAATTATTTCCATCTTCATTGTCCCACCCATCCTGCTGCTTCTCCAGCATCAGGAGCATCATATTCTGGGTCTAAGGTGAGGATGGAAGTGCTATCACAACAGATCTGCATGAGTGATTCCTTTAGACCAGGAGGCCAAAGGGGCTTGCTCCCTCTAGTCCTGCAGAGCAAGAAAGATTTCCCACACAGTAGGCGGCATTCACATGAAATGCCATACCTCCTGCAACAGGTCACCCTGTGCTGAGAGATGAAAGCAGGATGAATCAAGGAAACAGAAGCCTGCATACTTCAAGGAAACCACAGTTACTTTATTTTTTTGCTGTTTCTTCTTGATTTATGGAGGAAATCATATCGGAAGCCTAGTTCCTTTGCACCTGCTACTCTATCATACAAGTTTATTTCTCTTTTCTGCCGTTATTATCCCATGTGGCCCATAAAGCAAAATGAATGGATTTCCTGAATCCATAGATCTTGTATAATATATCACAAAATTACTTTCCCTATCATCACTGTTGGATAGCTCCTCCAATATAAGAAATAACAACAGACAACATTTTTCAGAAAGCAACCCTAACATCTTTTTGATAGTCAAGGATTTATTTTCTAGTTTTTTTCTAGGTCTTATCAGTATTTGCTCTGTCATAATAGTTCAGTGGTTCCACAGAGCATTATCATGAGAAGAGCAAAGGATAGCATAGAAACTACACTTGACAGAGAACACTCAAAATGTTTGACTGCGCTTCCTAATTTGACAAGAGCCACTGACAGAACCAGTTGACCTTCAGTGCAACTATGTGCGTGCTCTTGCTTAAAGGCGATGTGTGTGCATGTTTGAAACATTCAAGGTGAATTAAGTAAGTACATTATGTAAATATTGCAACTATATCTAAAAATTCAGAGCTTCATGAAGGTATTTTGAGATCCACTAAAACCTGCATTATATTCAATGCACCATGGTGATCCAAGGAGTATAAGAAACCAAGGGAGATAGAAATCATATATTTGGCCTTAGATGAAGATGGACTAAAATCCATCTATATCCTTTTGACCAAATTCAATTGTCTAAATATTTGTTTTGACCAAATCTGCTGGTATTTATTTCTGGAGTAAATGAACTGCTGGAGTAATGAAATAACATCATTTACTAAATTCTCCTTGGAATATAAGGCTATGGAGGGGGAGAATAGCTTTTTAATATCCATATGAACTCTTAGCAACATTCATTATTTAAGTATCAGTTTTCAACATTTTTAGTGAGTGCTTCACTATATATATAATCCAGAAACTAAAACCAATAAAAGAAAAAGTGAATAAACAAGAATGAAAATGAGTCAGTCACACGTTTATCAGACAACACCGTCAAAGACTAAGTGAAACAGGCTAAGTCTGTATCATTTTCTAAAAAATGGCTAGTGAAGAAGCCAAATGCAATTCCCAAGACAGCATTCTACATTATTGAGGCAACTACTGAAAAGGCCATGCTCTTATTACATTTGTCATAAAAATGTGAAATTCTTTTGGGCAAAATCTAGGGCCTCTCTGGGTGATCTCAACTTGCAGGGAGGGGATGATTAGCGAAAGTCTGATTGATGTAGCCAAGGGAGTATTCATGAGATGCAGGGGAATACAGAAAAGCATCCAGGTACTTAGTATGAAATTCACCATTTATGTGGATTGTGTGCCCAGTACATTCTCTCCCAGCAAAATAATCTATCTCTACTTGATGCCACGCACAAACAGAATCAGCTTGTACTGTTCGCCACACTAATTCCATGACCACATGTTCAGATTCCAGTTAGCATGGTTGTCAGTGGATTGTGAAATGTGCATAAGTTTCAAATGGACCCCAAATGGTAATCATTATATTTTAACTGGCCTTTGGGTGACAGTTCATCATGAGGACTGAGGCTGAATCCTGGGGCAAATGTGATTACCTGGAGAAGGCTGAAGTCATCCGTCTCCCGCCTCCTGCCGTACTCCTGAACGAGAGTCACAAACACAAAATTCAGATGCACACAGCTCCACTCCATCCAGTATCTTCTCATCTAACAGCTGGCTATTTTCAAATCTCCCAATTCTGACATGCAAACACAGTGTTTCCAAAGGCAACACATTTACAAAGGGAATTCTATTATTATGACTACTACTATTATTACATTTCTATACTGCCCATAGCCAGAGCACATTTTAAGTCACCCATCCAGATTTCAACCAGGTCCAACCCTGCTTAGTTTCCAGGATTAGGCAGGATCAGGCACTTCAGGCTAAATGGAAGTGACATGAGAGTCCTTATTCTTCAGGTGGGCACTTTTGCATCTGCTGGTGGGTTGAACCTTGACAGTTTGGCACAGGTGTTGCCTGGGGCTAGGTAGTCTCTGGCTATGAGAGGGGGCTAACTATGATGTGGAGGTTAAGGCTGGGTGTTGCCTCCCTTAAAGTTGTGCAAGCCCCCTGATCTGCCTCAGGGTCCCCCAAAATAGGCAACTCTTGTGATTGGTTCAGAGGGCTCCCACTTGTCCCCACAACAGAGTCCTGGACCAGTCTCTCTCAGTCAAACTGACCTCATAGACTTATTATAAGGGCTACTAAAATGGGTAGAGCAGGGGATACCCCATTTATGCTGCCCTGCATTCCCTGAGGGTGTTGTTAGGAGCTTAAATGTCTCAAGAAGCCAACTTTATAATGTGAATATGTTGATGTAGACGTATCTACATACATGGTACTGGGGAGACCTGTGTGATTGGTTCTTATGGAGTCAACCCTTCTGTTTGCCTAAATCTGCCTGTTCTCTGCAAAGTGGAAGCTTTCTGGGGTTTTTCCCCATCCTGCTGCCCAAGGTCCTTTTCAATGGCAGTGCTAATAACCAAACCAGGGACATCATTTACTGGAACCACGTACTCTGCTACTAAACTATGTCCCCTCCCATCCTAATCTTCTTTTTCTATAAGGCTTGATCTATGACTGTTCAGATATCTATGTGCTGCTTCAATACTCTCTCTGTGTTCAGGTCTGGACTGAAAGGAAGCAGTATATTTTTGCTCATCTATTGGCCTGAGACAGTGGAGGAAGAGCTTCAGGGCTGAGTGTGTACCTAAGGGCAGAGAGGCCCACCTGTCCAGCCCAGATGATACTGATGAAATTATGTAGCACAGAAACAGCCCCTGTCACAACCATGCTGCTGGAATTTGTGACGATGGCAAAAATATTGGCTGTATGCCACTGATTTGCGGCAGCAAGCCATTACAGAATGTCGCAGTGGCCCAGATTGGCTTCTCAGCCAGCTCATTTTGACCTCTGCAGCTTTCCATAACATCACAATACGGACAGCAGTAGCAAAACATGCTTGGGGAGAGCTCAGGAAGAAAATGAGGTCAATGTTGAAGAATAAGAATAGGAGCAGCCATTCCTCAGGCTGAAAAAGAGTTGTTGGAAGGAAGGAAGGAAGGAAGGAAGGAAGGAAGGAGGGAAATCAAAGAACATAAAGAGAAGCATGATTGTAGAAAGAGCTGTTGGGTGTATGGTGGCTGGAGAGAACAAAATAGGAACTGTGGATGGGCATTCTAGGAAATGATCGTCTTGTTAATCCTGGTATGAAGTTCTTAGACTCTTATTGTTCATTGCTATAAACTGAAATGGAGCCAACTGTATACCCTAAATATACCCTATAGCACAACTGTCCACTCAGATTTCATGACCATTTTTAGTTCTAAAGAAATTCCACAGCTTCTAGTAGGTTGCAATCCAGAACAAAGGCCTAGTGTTAAAAGTAGCTCTACTGTGTCTGAAGCATTTAACCATCAAAAAGAGACTAGAAAGACTATAAAGAGTCTCACAAAAAGATAACACTCACTTTCACAATATGTAACGCCACAGTTAGGGTGGAAAAACTAATTCACACAAAATGCACGCTAGGAAAAATATTTCAGGTCTATAGACTTCAATAGTTCTTGAAAATAATAACTGAACAAATTAGGTACATTTTATTTATTTATTTAAAACATTTCTGTGCCGCCACCATCGCAACAAAGCCCCAGGGCGGCTCACAACAAAAACAAAAACATACAAAATTATACAAAAATCATACACTAAAAATATCAAAACCCGGTGCATCTCGGCTTAAAATTTTTTAAAATCCTACATAATAAATTAACACTTAAAATAAGTTTTAAATAAAAAGGCCTTAGCCTGGCGCCGCAAAACAAATAATGACATTTTGATGTTCATAACTCATGCAGGTATGAATAATGATAATAATAATGATATAGAACAATATAGAATATGCTGTTTGTGATTACTTATGAATGTGAATTACTTATGAATTACTTATGAAAGTGCATGCATGTCATTAAAATCCCAAGAACTTGAATGTGACCCTCCTATACAGGGGACAGCACAAATAATAATATATAAATTTTCTGAGTTTAATCATTAACCAATCATTTGACTGATGGACAGTATATAAATAATATTATAAGGAAAAACTGTGCTGGATACAATAGCTGTGCTAAGACCTATCTAGTCATCATCTTTTCCTGCTAAGTCAGTGCTGATGGGCTCCCAGAATGCACTCTAGAAGGTGACATGGCCCACATCTCCTGAATCACTTGGAGGCTGCATGGTGTCTGTGTCACGTCAGCCTGCCTGCACCACTCTCCTCCCGCATTTCCCACACTCATGCAGCAGATGCACAAATGGGGTCCCAGTTAAGTGGGAACCCAGGCTTGTGCTTTGAATCATATACAGAAGCCTGCTTGCTGGATTATGATGTACCTGGACATGCTCAGGTGTGCCCAATGCATTTGCATCCCCTGGATTGATGCCTGCATCTTGGACTGTAAGCATGGCTCTGTAATCACAGAGGTGGGGTCACACCTGAATCTAGCCAATGTGATCCTTATCCATATTGCAGGATCTGGATGGGGACAACAGTGTGGATGGGATGAGAATTCTACATGTGGTTGTCACCAACACCTGTGCAACACCTTCCTATGGATGAACACCTCTGAATCACAGCTAGTCTCTGAAGCACAGAGTAGCTACTAAGAATTCAGCAGTTAGACATCTTTGGATCTATGCTGGGATCCCTCACTGGTATACCTATATATTCAAGCATACTTTCTCACACTGACTGTGAGAAACATTTTGTGAAACCTTTTGTGATGATACTCACGCTCGTCGGAATCCTGTGCGGATGTCTAAATCACCTGGTGCAGGTGCCTCTGTGATGGTGTAGATTAATGGGGTGTGGGGGAGGGAGGGAAGATAGGGAAATAATTCAGATATGTTTGCATCAAAGACAAATGTTCTGCATAATCCATCCCACAAAAGCACATCAACGTTTTTTCTCTCTTTCACTTGGGTGACTCATTTGGGGAATGAAGTTCCATGCAATAACATGAGATGGAAGGTGGAATGAACAGAAGATCTAGATTTTTATCTCAAAACCTCACAACAGTTAGAAAAGGCAGTTCACTCTGACTAATTCACCCTATGAAACTATCATAAGCACTTAATTGTACTGATCCTTATAGGAGCATTCTTGAGAAAAATGTGCAAATAGAGGTTAAAATCAATTGGAAGTCTATAGTTTTTAAATGCTTGGGAGTGCATATTCTCATATCGAGCCAAGTTCTGCTGGTATAATGCTAACAGCAAGATGGACAAAGGTCCATCTGTAGTCATAATATCTTACCAGACTTAAATTTTAGGGGACTTTTAAAGAGACAAAAGTATGGATTAGAAGATACAGATGTAGGATTAAAACAGGCCCACTGGATGGTTTGATTCAGAGTTCAGTGTTCATGCTTTAGTCTGTACATGAAGCTCCTACACCAAAGCAGGGTGGGGTGGGGGATCTGTGCGGCCTCTGTATGTTTCTGGATTTCAATGCTTAATGGATTCTAACAACATGGCCAATGGTTAGGGATGAGGTGGGGGTTCCAAAAGTTCTTGGGCTACACATTCTCCGTGTTTGTACTCCATAAATATATTCCTTTAGTGTCAACACTAAGCAACAGTGATGCTGCTTTCTTCCACTGAAAAGAACAGGAAATCTGAAAACACAATGTATGTTGAATACCAACACCAATAAGAGATCTGGGTTGGGTGGGTTGTTTTTTCATTGTTGAGGGTTGGTTTCTGTGATAGCTTGAGTGTGACTGGATTTCTCAGTGCAACTGCATATGGAAGCTGGGTTTTGTGTGTGTGGCATGGGCACAAATGTTCTATAGCAAAGAGTACTAATGGCAAATAATACTAATAATTATCCTTGCAATAGGCTAATATTACTGTCTTGGAGCATACAGGGCCAATGGGCTGATTCAGTTCTCCAAGGCCACAAGTTGTACTTGTACTGCCTTTGCCAATCTGTCAGGAGTTTGACTTGAACCAAATGAATCACACGTTCAGTGGAAGTGCTGCTGTCATATAAAAAGAGAAAGCCTCTAGAGTGTACAAAACCATAATATATTGGACTCAGAGTTTTTATTCTGTCAGCAGAAATGCCCAAGAACAAATTTCTACCGAGAACAGTCCTGCTGGTGGGAAATGACTGTACTCGTGTGTAGGTGTGTATGTGTGTGGGGTGTACATTTTTCTGCAGACTCCCTCTGCCAGCCTCCGTGCCACCTCCGCCACTGCTTCAGAGGGCCTTCCAGCCTTCTGGAAGAGAACTTTGAGGGTACTGCGGCAGGCAGGGGGATCAGCAAAAGTTGGCCTCCTCTCTTATTTAGCCAGTGGAGAAGCTCCCCCTGGATTAAGAACTTTGCATGGATGGAAGGGGTTATTCCATCTGCAGGAGAATTTTGCTGGATCCAGCCTGTATTACATGCCTTTTTTCTTTTTCCTTAAGGACAGTCAGAGTGGTGTGGTGGTTGAGAACTCAGGAGATCTAGATTCTAGAATCTACTCAGCCATGGAGTTCAATGGGTGACTTTGGGCCAGTCACAGTCTCTCGGCCCAAACTACCTCACAGGGTTGCTGTTATGAGGTTGCTATGAGGAATCATTTGAGGCTCCCTGAGTTCCTTGAAAGGAAAAAAGAAAGGATATAAATCTAATGACTGACTGAATGAATGAATGAATAAATAAATAAAATTCAGGCCATTGCCTACCGAACACTCTTTGTGAGAGTCACTGGTAAACCAAAGCAACCCTTTATTTCCTGTATCTGATGCTATTTGACACTGCATATGCACTCTTGCATAAAAACAGCAAGAGTAAAAATTGGCAAGAGTGCTTAGAATTACAGCATTACAGGCGCTGTCTTCTTTTGTTTCTGCTGTTTCCATCCACATTAGCCTTCCTTAAACTGTTGCCCTCCAAGTGCTCAGGGCTAAAAATTATAGTCCAACTCATCTGACAGGAATCAGGTTGGAGACCATTCTAGGTGGGGCTGTTGCCTCGGAAAACTGAACAAAGGTACTCCCATTTTTCTCATTCTTTTGGGTTTGTTATAGGGGGTTGTGTTGATTCAAGACGCTCCTTAAGGCAAAAAAATAAGTCGAATATTTATCAATGGTACATAATTTTGGCCCTATATGAAGGCAATAAAGCATGGATTAATTAACCTACAACATGTACCAGCGACAGAGCAAACTTGGTGCATGCTGCCACCTGCTTGAATATGAAACCTCTGATGTTACTGATTGCAGGTTGCTCTGTGACATGAAAACATTGAAATGATGGCTAACTGTGGGCTAACCTGCCTACAGCTACACCTATTGTCATAGGTCAACCCACAATTTACCCATAGTGTCTGGATTCACATGTCACAGGGCAACGTCCAACCAGGCCAAGGTGGCACATTTAAAATGGTAGTATGAATTAACCCACAAGTTGCCAGTGTTATGTGAAAATAAGGTCTTTGTATGCTGTTTAACCAGTGATAAACTTTGACAATTGATATTTCTTCAGAACTGCTTAAAGCAGTAGTGTTGACCAAAATACTCATCTAAAAATATGCCTCTGCAACTTCCTGTATTTGGAAATGAGGTAACTTCCATCACATTCCTACTTATTTTTTTCAAATCTTTCATGGGTAAAGGCTGTGTATGTGAAAGCACTTCCCCTTTTACGGGTGACCCTTGCAAAGAACAGAACTGATGGTTTATATTCTTACATTCTCATTTTTGCTGACTTGGCAAACCAAAACTGAATGAAGATGCAGAATTAATCTTGCAGTTACACTGTTTTAACATTTCCAAAATGAAACAAACAATAACAACAAATGTAACAAGACATGTTCTGTTTTTCAAGACTGCAAATGTGTTTAGGGTTAGGCTGGTTAAAACTCTGCTAGAGGGCAGTCTAAAAGGCTTCTCTGACTGTATTTCCCATTGCTGAAAGGACCTAAAATGTAAACCTTTTTTGTCTACTGTCTACAGTATAACCTCCCTAAATTCCATCCATGTATCACTTAACATTTTCTTTCTAGAAACAAAACCACATCAGGGACACAAATATGTCCAAGATCTTTTTCCCTGTTCAATGGTTTTGCACATTCACCAGAGACAGATTTGTAACTCTAGAAAACCAAAGTATGTATTTATAATAAAAGTTTACCTTGACTCTTTAATAATTGTCAATATTTTGTACTGTTTCAAGTAGAAAATAAAAGCAATACCTTTTAGAAGGTACAGATACTGTGTTGCTTATGCAATATTCAGTAAGGAGTGGGAAATGTGTATGGAAAAAAAGAATTCCACCTCATCTAAAAGTGTATTTACTGGTTTAGTATTGTAAAACTCTTTTTCTGCCATGTATTTCTTCATGGAATACCAAGAGAAACACTGGAAAAAGACTTGGGATAGTCAAATGCCCCATAAACATGTCTCTGTATATTTTTATGGCTGTTGGCTTTCAGTTACTTAACTATCAACTGCGGTTCCAGCAAAGTTAGAATGTTCCTTAATATTCATGATATTAAGCAAGAATGTCCACACAACCAAGCAAAGGCTTAGGGGTATAAAATGACCCCATGGGTTTTTCCCAAAGATAACTGGTCTAGGAAAGCAGCTTTATGGATTCTGGATGTGAATAGGTTGATTAAAACAATAGGAATTGATTGGAGAACATTACGTCACCAAAGTTAGGTTTGTTATGGGGTTAGAAATTTACCCCATGAGACTAAAAACATTTTACCTAGAATTTTGCTTTGACAGTTTGATACTTTCCTAATATTTTGATTTTAAAACATGTACCTTCTGGCAGTGTGGATGCATTTCTGGTTGTGGATATTTTACCATGAAGGGATACATCGGAATATGGCCTCCCACAAATATGTTTGAAACATTTTTCATAAATTTTAGATATTTAAATGCACATCTTTCCAATGTATGTGCATGTGCGTTTAATGCAAATAAGTGCATGACGTGGATGGAGCCAACACATATAAAAATGACACAGAAAAAAAAATAGAAGAGAGAGCAATAAGGGGCCAGGAGTTCTTGAACATGTCCTTTAAAATAAAGGCTATTTTTTCAATAATCCATATCTTCATAACGGCAAGTTGGGGAACAAAGTCTTTACATTGAATCCTGTCATTTTCCCCAATCCAAAATTCCTACTTTACTCCTCTGCCAATGTCACTCTGACTGCTTTATTTTATTTTATTTTATTTTATTATTTTATTTTATTTTATTTTATTTTATTTATGTTATTATTTGTTTTAACCTTGTAAGCAGTTCTGTTGTCTTGGATTGGAAATGTTATATGCAATGAGAGAAGAAGCACCCCAGCAATGCAAAGTAACTCTGCAATTACAGAAACTTCTGAACTTACCATGGACAACAAGGCTAAAATTACAACTATCGAATTTGTCCTTAGTAGCCACTTCGCATCTGTATCCCCCTGCGTAGGTTGGTTTAGCCTCAATAATGTTCATTTCAAACACATAAACCTTAAAAGCGTAAGAAAGAAAAGGACAATATATTCTGAGACATTTTGCATTCAGACCCTGCTGCCTGAGTATAAAAATGAACATGTAAAGTTGCCTGCCAAGAGTTTCTCTTGAGCCTGGATGGCCCAAAGAGCATCCTTCACACTCTTTTGTATGAATAGTTAACACTTTCCTCCTCTTGCCTCCTAAAGGAAACATTTTGCCCTTCTTTTTTCAAATTCCCACCGTTTTACCATAACAATACGGGGATTCACAGAAGTGCACTGGGGCAATGCTTCAGTGTCTGCTTTATAATACCTCATGAAGAGGTTGGGGCAAGGTTGCTTTGGTACAGACCTGAAATGCTTCAACGGCTATGCCAAGAGATGTCAAAATGTTATGAGGCTTAATGAAATGATACCCCGAAGTGTGGGAAAAACAGTGCCCTCCTGAGGTTTTGAGCCATATCTACTGTGATCCCTACTGCCGGCTATGCTGACCATGGCTTATGGGAGTTGTAGTCCAAAACTACAAGTTGCCTTCTTCTGTTTATGAGGAACAGACAGGATTAAAAACAAGGTATGCCTTCAAAACCCTCTGTCTGTGACATAGATACACAGCATATTTCCCATCTATCAGAGCAATGGTACACATCTTGGGCCTAGAATATGGATGATAGCAAGTTGCAACTGGTTCCTTAGCTAAAAGCTTACCAGTTTTGGTCCAATTTAACAAATGTTTTCTAACAGAAGAGCAATGCCTGCTGCTAACTTCAGGGGAATTCAGGGGAAATAGTCTTTTTAGCTTTCAAACAGCAAAACTCAGGCTGGGAAAAAGACAGAAGGGCCAAGCCCTTGTTTTGCTAGTTGTACCTTGTTGTTTCGGTCATACGTCTCATGAAGCTGGAGATGTTTTCCTACTTTGCTTCCCAGGTCCATCCACTTTCCCTTGAACCATTTAACTGAAGGTTTCTTCAGTAGGCTTTCACCTGCCACTACAGCAGTAAATGTAATGTTCCCACCTTAGGAAGAAAGTGGTATTAGGGTGAATGCATGATTTGTAGTGCAAAAGCCCTGTTCAGTTATGAGCACACCATTACAAAGACTCGGCCATGCACAGCCCTACCAGTAGTCACTTCTCCATCCCGTGGCCGAGACACGAAGATACCAATAGGATCCACAGGCTCCTTTTGTTGGGTTTCTGTAGGAAGAGCTGGAAAGCAAACTAGAATTAAATATTGATTTTCTAACATTGCAGAATCTGCTCCTAACTACTGAGTAATTCAGGTACACCAGAGGTGTTGAATGGCTTCCAGTACAAGAACTGAATTCTATTTTGAGAAACTTTTCAGTCTACATTCCAGTGGTGGACATGGCCAAAGGTGAAGGGGATGGGCCAAAGTTACCAAAAAATACCCGAATGTCATGGCTTAAAGTTAGGCCCTCAGACTGAGGTTCTGCAGCCTTGCTCTACTCAGTCTGAGAAACCAGAAAGACTGAAGAAACAAACCAGAATATCTTCAGTGATAAGGAAGCCTCAAAGCCCCACAGATCAATATAAATATGTAGCACAAGTGAATGAGGTGGGTGTCGTTGCTTAAGTAACAAAGGAGGAAAACTTGAGCTTTCATTCCTAGTTCAGTGACCACATACATGGTATGGATACACATTCCAGATTCAGTTTTGAGATATCTAGTTCAAGGGATCAGACAGCAGCTGTGGGAAAAGAGTGTTGCTTGAAGCTCTGAGGAGCTGCTGCTGGTCAGAATATTAACAAAACTGGTTTGGATGGACAAATATACTGATGTGGTATGACTCTCTGATAAAGTTCGAATGGATGCATATTTCAGATGAGTATCTCTGATGGGTGGATCATTATGAATTACCAAAAAAAAAGTAGATGCATGACTATGAAAGAGGACACGGGTTTGCTAACTACCTCTCTATTCAGCCAGTGTGCCTTGAGGATATCAGTTACAGACAAAGCAGAGCATATGAACACCAGTGAGGTGATGTTGTACAAAAGGTGAGGACACAACATGTCCCAGTTGTCAACACTGGCATCTCCAAGTAGTCTGAAAAAGCCTTCTGCTTGAGGAGTTAATGGAGATGAGAGAGAAAATTTCCATGGACAAGTCTCAGAAAACAGGGACCTTTGAGCACACCTGCACTGTTTAAATGTTGCAGCAAATGGCTTTATTTTTCCACTCTGGTCCAAAGGCACCAGAATCGAATTGGCTGCACGTACTGAACAAGATATGAACTGTTGTTCCAGTGGTCAGCCTTTTTGATGCAGCTCATTATTTGTCTTCTTCTGCTAAATAAAATGTCTTACTTGTCCATTGGCACAAAATAGCCTTTTAAGATTATTGGTTATTCTGAGCATAGTCAAAGATGGTAGGAGCAAATATCAAAGAGAGAGCCAGCATGATGAAGTGGTTAGCATGCTGACCTGGCATTTAGGAGATCTGGGTTCTAGTTCCCACTGGGTGATGATGGCCCAGTCATTAATTCTTATTGTGTTCTATCTCACAGGGTTCTTGGGAAGATAAAATGTAGATGAGGACTTCGTAAGCCACCTTGGGCTCCTCTCAAGGACTACAGAACTAACCCTACAACAACAACAATAACAACAACCACAGCAGCAGCATTGCATACTTTTACCTTCTGAACCCTTGTTACCATCTGTTGGTCCAGTATCTGCAGTTGTGGAAATGTTTGTGACAGTTGGTTCAGAAGTCACTTCAGGAGGAGGGACCTCTTCCAACTTCTCTGGAAATGAACAGAACCCAAGGAATGTTATAAAAAGTCCCATATTATTTTAGGGAACATGATGAAGGTCTGATGCTCTTGAGACGAGTCAGTGGACACTAGTCAGTGTGCTGCTTCCACTCTTCTCATCTCATGCTACATTCAAATGCTGTGATGAATTCACAAAAGATTCCAGGTCAGCAATAAGGGAATGCAGATCCTTGGAACAGAATCAACAACTAAATGAGGACTGTGGGAATGCAATTTTTCTTAATATAAACAGTCTTCTTTACAGAATTAGCCCTACTTAATTGAATTTTAGAGTTGGAAATTTTTTGTTACGAGGGCTACCTACAGTCAGAATCCAAAATAGAAATCACATAGCTGCTAGTTATATTCTTTTCTCATGTATACTGCAGAATAGGCACAGAGGGCCTGATCCACGTTGCAACCCTCACATGTAGGTAGGTGGGTTTTATTCTTTCCCTCTCTGTCTCTCACACATGTACACACTATTGGCCCAATCTGGATTGGAGGACTTAATCCTAGGATTTTTATTGTCCAGTAGTGATCCATTTGCTTTATGGATCATTATTTTGCAATAAAAATTGTTGGTGTATCCTCCCACCATTAGGATCAAGACCATAGTGTGGTGGGAAGAGTTGAAGCCCTCTACCTCCCACATACGAGGTTTCTAACTTGGATCAGACCCTCCTCCCCTAGTGCCTACTTTTAAAAATCAAAAAGGCATACCTGCTAGCTATACCTTTGTAGTAATATCTGTTTTGGCCTATAAGAACGTAAAATATTGGAGCAGTGTATGGATTAGAGCCAAAGTTTTATTCTGCCTATGTGAACATCTTCAAATGCTCCTGCTGAAAAGGGAAGAGGCAGAAAAGGGGAGGCGATTTTTCCAGAACAGATGGAAAGGGGAAACAGGAGACCTCAAAGGAGGCAAGATTTGATGAAGATTGTCTCTTTCCCTCTTCAGCCAATAGTGGAAGACTTGATCCAATGGATCAAGGGTCTTCCACTGGTGGAAGGAGCTCTTCCATTCAAGGAATGTTTTTCTTGCATCCAGCCCATAGTGCTATATAGCTACAATTGCTTAGAAAGGCGAGTTTATTCACAAGTTAGATTACAGTTGCCAAAAGTGTGTGTGTGGGGGGGTAATTTTCCAGTTGTGAGGAAATTATCATTTGTTCTAATGTTTATGGGTAGACTATCCTTGAACAAAGGCTATTGCTGTATGACTTTGTTCTATAACAATGTTCCATTGTTCTATATAACATTTACCTGGTTCTTTGACTTTGAGTTCAAATTTGACTTTGGAACTTCCAGCAATGACAGCATATGTCACATCATCTTCTTTTCTGACATTATTAATGGTCAGTGAGTGCTTGTTCCCCTCCGACATGATGACATACTTCTCATCTGCAATAATTTCTACACCATTTCGCTGCCACTTCACCTTGACACCTGTCTTCTCTGTCTCTGCTTCAAAAACAGCCACACCCCCTTCTACCACGTCTGCTGTCTTTGGTTTCTTGATGAAAGCTGAAGCTGAAAACAAAAAGAGGATTTTTTTTTCTTGCAACAACACTGAAAAGACAGGCCTCCCCGATTTTCCTAGTATCCCCTCCTCTGCCTGTATCACATGTGAAATTTCCGGAGAAATGTTACTTTTCAAAATGGATCAGGTTACTCACAAGCCACTCTTATGCAATATGGGTCCAGAATATTGTTATTCACCTTGGACAGAATACTCTCTCTGCCTCTTGCTCAAATTTTATCTCAATATCGCAGTCATGAGTTTAGGAAATACACTCTAATGAGTTTCAAAACAGTCCTTCATCTCTTGGCAGCCTAGATTGTGTGGTGTGTGTGTGTGTGTGTGTGTGTGTGTTTACAATTGTTCCTAAACATGCAACAGAATGAGGTACTAGAATGAGCATAATGGTACTAGAATTCAGGGAAGGGGTACCACTATCAAATGTAAAAGAACTCTTCCATGTAAAAGAACTCACAACAGAAGGCGAGTGCATAAGGGACAGCGATTCTAGCTCAGCACTTTGCTGCTGTTGTTTTCAACTTCTTTGTAGATAGATAGATAGCCAGTGTAGTTAGAATACTGGGCTGGAATTTGGGAGATTGAGGTTTTAGTCTGCAATCAACCACAAACTTGCTGGGTACTTGAGGCCCATCACTGATTCTCAGGCTGAACTAACTCACAGGGTTGTTGTAATAATAAAATGGGGAAGAAGAGGAGGTTTATGTAAGATGCCTTGGGTTTCTTTTCTTTTTTCTTTTTGGCAGGAAAAAGGATATAGATATACTAAATGGAATATGATACATTTGCAGGGAGGTTTGAATTCAAAATGTGGTTCCTATCTGCTGTCTGGAGTGATACCATTCATTCTAGCACACAGCCTCCTTCCACTTTACCCTGCTGTATGTATAAGTTAGGTCTCTGATCTTGCTACTGCTGGCTTCCCCTTCCTTTCTCTCCTTGTTCCAGCCCAGAGAAAGAGCAACTACTTCTGTCTATCCCTCTAAACTGAAGTGTGGGGTAGCTTCAAAAGCAGAGACACAGAGTAGGTGACCTGATACCCTTCAGACACTTTGGATTACAATTCCCATCAGCCCTACCTCACATAGCCAAAAGTGAGATATTATGGGAGCAGTAGTCCTTGACATCTGGAGTCTGCCAGGTGCTATGTCCATGCAAGCTCTGATGCTAATGCTCCATTGGCAGCAAAGCATCATCTGTAAAGTTTGCCATGGGGACAAGAAATCACACAGTTGATTTCCTCACTGGAATGCCCAGCTAATTCAGAGGGAAAATCTGCTCTCCAGGCACCCTGAGAGACCCATAGGGAACAAGCTACCTCAGGGCAGAACTCTGTTTGTTAATCTGAGCTAAAGCATCAGACAGTTCAATCCACTGCCTTGCTATAAAAGATATAAATGTATTATAAATAGTTCCTTTAACGAAAGTATTCTAGGAGATTTCAAGGGGTTGTTTTAGGACTGATACATATGATATATAGAACCTTATATGCACTGCAACTTGAGTGAGGTTCTGGCCTTGTAGATGCTTAAAACTTGGTTAAAGCAAAAAAAAAAAAAAAAGGAGATGCTGCAGGAAATCTTTCACTGGAAGATGAAAGATTTACATCGGTGATTGGCATCGTGCCACAAAACACCATGGGGCAGAAGCCTTTCAAAACAGAGAGAATCTCCTGGTAGCAAATTCAGAGGGGGACACTGCACAAGTGCATACAAATGGGTAGAGCAGAGCTCACTTGGGAGTGAAGCCAGTTCAGAAGACGACTGCATGACAAGCATCTGGTACTTGGCTCCTCTCCCCATAGCACTGAGGATAAAAAGATTTAGAGAAATAGTTTTCTAGAAGCCCAGTTGTTGCCACTCATCCTGTTAGCCACCAAAGTATCCATAAATATGTTAATTACATGACAACAATGCATCCTGTAAAAGTTCCAACTTTTAAACGGCAGCTTTTCTTGGTATGCTACTGGCAGGAATTTTCTGCCATTTTCTGTAGACTGTTCACAAGAGAAAGTTATTCTACTTATATTATCTTCTTAAACTACCTTGCTAGTTTTTAAACATTTAAACACAGAGAAGGAAAATTTACACATCTTCCTCTTATCATCCTCCTGTTAGTCTCAGGTTAGTTTTATCACTCATCACTTTGAGTATTTTGTAGAAGAGAATAATAAGCATTACATTTAAAACAAATCTCCACTGAAGTTGAATAAAGTCCTCTTTCTCTGAATTATCTTGTAGAATCAAGTCTTGCTCCATTTAAGCAAAACTGTCAGTCCAATTAAACGACTGGATCTTTGGATCAAGATGGAGACTTCTAGTTTTCCTGAAGAGGAGCTTTTTACTTTGTTGTTCTCAAATTACTTGTTGCTCTCAAAGTGCCTTACCCATTCCTGCTGTGGTGGCAGAAACCACCCCTATGTCTGCCTGCAGATGGTTGAAGCTGAGGGAGCAGGATACCTTGGGCTTGTAGTTTCTCAGTTGCCCTCATCATCTAGACTGTGCTAACTCCAGGTTTTGGAGGGCTCTTGGAGAAAACATCCTCAGTGAGTCCTCTCCCTCAGTAAGCCTATCTTCTTACTACCATTGTCACCAGCTGCTAATTCTCCTCCTCCTTCATTGCTACCACTTGTTTCCTGACCGGCAGAGAGCCAGTAGCAAGAAGGAAGGGAGCTAATTATCCTTCTCCTTTTCCAACCACTGCTGTTGGGCCAGAGCAAGAGATGGGTGGATAGTTTGCAATGATGAAGAGGAGGAGCCAGTCCAGAGTCCCTTGCTGGGGCTGTGGGCCTTCAACAAGTGCCGGATGCTAGATCTGCCTCTGGATATCTTAAATTGTGCTCAAAAGGAAGAATGGAGCACACAATCAGTGGAGCATGAAAATGTGAATGCTTGGGGTGATGGAAAAGTGGGGTGTGTGGGGGTAATTTTGATCTATTGTTTTCAGGAATAATATTTGTGTTTATTTTTCAAAAAAGAACAGATTTGGATTATGAAATGTTTTTAGAATGATGGAAAATATTTAAGGAAATGTGTTTATAGATTTCTACTCAGGCTATGTAATGAGACTTTTATAGAAAGATTACAGATGTTACATTTATATGTAACATCTGGAAATAATGATATTATGGGCAAAATGTTTCCTTTAATCCTCTCTGTAAGATTTCCAGCATCTCTTTCATTCCTTATAAAACTGTCAATTTAAAGTTTATGTATAGACATACCCTAGAACATGTTCAGTTTCTCAACATTCATTCTTCACACCCTGGTTTTTGCTCTATATAAAAGCCACACGTGGGGGAACACTGTAGATTCTATCATCTCTATGAACAGATCCAACAAATCAACATGTGGTTTATCTTACCTATGCTCTTTTTAAAAGAATAATGTTGAGGCTTGGATCTGCAGAACTCTCTGCCACAGCTTGGGATAAAGCTCACAATTAGACCTCACCACTAAGCAGTGCTGCCTCAGCTATGAAACACTGTAACTGCTATCACTAGAATACGACCTCACTACCTAAAAGAACCCCAGGGTCCTGATTTTTATAGCCTAGGCATGGGATTGCCTCCACTCCTAGAGACAACTTTTCAAAATTTAAAACAACAACAAGATGTTCATCAACCAAATGTGACTAAGTTAATTAACCAAATGTTGAGGTTACTTAAAGACTCTTAAATTAAATATGGTTGCTGTTTTTCATTCTTATACCTATTTTTACCAGATAAATAAACTCCAAATAGCTTTTTCTTCAGACCAGATTTTCCTAAACACCACAAAGAGGAACAGGTTTAGGAATTCCCTTGAACTTCCTTGCAAACAGCAACAGATTCCAAGCACCAGTCTGCCTCCACCTCCAGTTCATCCCGTTTGATTTCTGGTATGACGCAAATGTTTGGGTATTGCTTGGTGAAGTTCCTCTGCCAAGTGGAAAATAGGAACCTAAAATACGTTCTGCATAACTTTGCTCACAAAATTGATTTAACTTATACATTTATGTTCCTATATTTATACATGTATGTTCCTAAAGCAGACTTCCCCATTCTGGTGCTTTTCAGATGTTTTGACCTGGGACACCCAGTAATCCTGACTTATGACCATGATATCTGGGGCTGATGGGAGCTGAGGTCCAAAGCATCTGAAGGGCATATATTGGAGAAGGCTATCTTAAAGCAACAAAGTTACTTAGATCTGTGAAGAGTGCTTAAAAAGGGTATTGGTGCTTTTAAGAGGTATTGATTACCTCTGCAATTTCCCCTGGCATTTCCATTCCCTCTCCCTGCTCTACCAACAAACCAAGCAATCAAATAGAAAAAAAATCTGTTTTTCCCACCCATGGTATCAAAATTTCCAGAAATGTTATACTTTGAGTGATATACTCAATCCAAGCAGACCTTTTTCATGAGGTGGTACAAACAGGAAGGGCAGCTTCACTTAGCTCTTTTGAGATATAATTTTTCCAGGAAGAGTCTTATGTAGGGCAATCAAGCAAACAGGCTGAAGGCCTGCATGAGAGTTACTAGGTCTATAGCTTGTAAAATGATAAGGATCTGGATTCATAGCCCAGCCTGGAAACTCTTGGTTGATCGAGTCATATGGCCAAAGGTGGCTTGATCCACCAAGGATACCCGAGCCCACATCTTCCTGCCCAGTACCACATTCCCTCCATCTTGTCAGGATTCAGCCTCAATTGAGTGAATTAGCCATGTGTAAAAAGCAAGCTTGTTGCCAGAGGGAGAAGACTGGGCATTGGTAATCCAGTCTGAGCAGTTTCTTCCAACTTTCTACACAACCTTGCCCAGCAATATGCATTGTACAGCAGTAGGGCCAAGACTGAGAGCTGCTGCACTCTCAGGGAAGACCAGCCAAGATGCTTACCAGGTATGGATAGCATCATTTAGAACAGTCATATGAATTTGCCAGGGAACATAGCTGTGATATTGCAACTGCAAAATCAGGAGTGCCAACGGCTGTCAACAATTTTTTTTTAAAGA